TATTTAAAATTAAATAATCTGAGAGGAGGTCAGTTTTGTTACCCTAGATATATCCTGCACATAAGCCTTTGAGGATGTTCCTGGAGGAGGTGCCCACTCTTTATTGCCTTACTAATGGTCCAGTGCTGCTCTGGGAATTTCACTCACCAAAAAAGGCATCCCCAGGTGTTTTGCACCCTCACAGGCTGTGTCCCTGTCCCTGTGGTAGGCACAGGGTGGGTGCCTGGTGACAGCCATTCCCCACCCTGGACACAGCTGTAGCTCACACTGCAGTGTGGATTTTTCTCCCTCAGTGTGCAGCAAACCATCACTCAGGTATCTTGGCAAAGTGCCTAAATTTAACCGAGCTGTGCCTGTGCTCAGTTTTAGCAGGAGAGAGCAGTTCCTGGCAGCCAGAAATAAACTGGTTTGATATGGTTAAATTAATGAGCACATAGTGCTGGATTACTTGTGAAATCTCTAGTCTGACAATTTATCAGAGACAGCAAAACATATGTTGTCTTGCAGCTTTTGCTGTTTCCAGGAGCAGGCAGATCGGTTTAAAATTAGTTGAAAAACTAATGAAGTGTAGCTAATGCCACTGCAGAGTCCTGGACCTTAGAGAACATTTCCTTAATGGTACTGTGAAACATATAACCTCTGCCAGTAGGGTGGAGGGGAGCAGTGACAGCAGCAGAGGACACATAATATGGAAGTAAATCCTGTGTAATCCTGAAGAGGCAGCTGCTAATGGTGTGTACCCAGGCTGGAGCACTGGGATGTGAGGGAGCAGTGCCTGCCTGAGGGCTCCAAGCACCTGTGACTAAGCCAGCCTGGCATTTATGGAGCTGGAAGTTTGGGGTGGCCCTAACCCTGTCCCTGAGCCCTGCCCAGTGGATGCCTCTTGTTGCCTGAGACCCTGGGAGCAAGCAGAGACAACTGAGGCAGCTCAGCTTGGGGGGATGTCAGTGTAAACAGTGAGGTATGTAAGGGGGAGGGCAAGGAAGGGGATAGAGCCTGGGTGCCAGTGAGCATGGCCCTGAAAACGAGAGATTCCAGGTTAGACATAAGGCAAACATGAGCCTTGAATCTTCCAGAGCAAGACTGTCGTCTCTACTGGGACACAAGTTGAGAGACCAGAAGGGGCCTTGAGGCTTGTGGGTTTAGGAGGCTGAGTTTGCCTTGGCTCACACTTAAAGCTGATTCTGCTGCTGGTTTAGCTTTTTTGCATTCTTGTGAGCTGCAGCACCCAACCTGTTCAGCATGTGCTGTGTAGGGCTCCTGAGAGCAGGCAGCTTGTGGCAGTGAAAGTCCTCTGAAGGTCCACAGGGTGGCAAAGTGAGCAGCAGGATAAAGCCAGTTCCTCTGCTGCTGTCTCCCCTGACACTCTGACAGCTGCTCCTAGCTGAGACCATTCTCTGTCCCCACTGAGAAGTAAGTCAGGGAAAAATGTAGTCTGTTTTTCTCAGACACTTTTGTTCTTGCTGTGGAAATTCCTAACAGGCTGCTTACTTGAGGAACCACTCAAGTCCTGTTTGTAACTATGGATATGGTCCTGTCCTCAGCTCCTGGAATGTAAATCTCATGAGAATGAGGTTGCTGCTGAGCAGATAAGCTGGTGATGGTGTGTTTGTTTGTGTGTAGTTTCCCCTTTTCTCTGAAGAGCTGTTTCATTTATGCACTGGCTTGACTGCTGTCCCTGTTCACAGCAGCCAGGGACATCCCAAAAGCTGTGCAAGTGCCCAGCTGAGTGTTACAGCCTCCCTCTGGTCTTTGTCCTGTGATCCATTTCTAGCTGTGACTCTGGTGGGGTTTGCAAGCAGCACATACAAACTGTGTCTCCCCAGAGGCCATCCCAGCTACATCCCCACTGTGCTACCAAATGTACCAACTGCATCTTCATCACCTCTCTCCAGCCCTTCTGCTGCATAAGAATAGCTCTTGAAATGCCTGCTAGTGTGTAATGTGGTGTGGATTTCAAATGGGGTGATATCATGGGGGTGAACAGTTCTGGTGTGACAGCCCCTCAAACCTGTGGTGAGGGGTTTGAGATCAGCTCATGTTCAGCTGCCTGCCTGGGGGGTTGGACAAATCCTGGGAAATACTGCTTCTGGGCTCATGTCTTGTGTCTGCTCAGTGGCCTGTGCTGCAGAAGAAGCTCCCCAGTTTCTTACAGTAGCACTGAAAATTGTATTTGTTGCTCTTTCAGTCTGGATTTGCTGGTGCAGGGTCACAGAAATACAGCTGGCTGCACTTCCAGCTCTAGCCCAGCTGCCCTGGGCACCCTCAGCTGTGAAAAGCCTGGGCTGAGTTAGGGCCACCTGTGTGTGCCAGCCTATTTTTTCTTTTTAGAGGTTGTTATGGATGATACTGGTACAGAAGAGAAGGAATTGAGTTGGCTCCAGAAGAATTTGGAGTTGTAGTGAAGCAACCCTCCCCTGGGGTCAGGACATCACTTGAGGAGACTCCTTGAGGTTAAGAGCTCTCACTTTATTGAGTGATGGTGGATTCCAGGTTATTCCTGCTTTCTAAGATTTTGAGAATAGCTCAGGTAATACCAATTTCATTTGGCATCACAAATCTGTATTCAAATATCACATAGCTTTAATTGATTTGGTTTATAAAATAAATCTTACTTGAATGTTATTTGTCTCAATTGTATAAATGTCTAGGACAGATGGAAGCAGGGCTTCCATCTTTGGGCTGCCCCTACTGGTATCCCAGGGCTGAGCTGCTGTGTGCATCCTGGCAGTGGTGCTGGAGCCCATCCTGCTGACGGGTGCAGCCAGCTTACCTGGAAGGCTCTCTCAGGAAGCATCTGCAGGGTAACACCAACTGTTTTGGTCAATGTAGCACAAAGATTAATGGCACTGTGATGTACCTCTGCCCTGGACAGCGTGGGGAAAAACAACCCCAGTTACAGGACAGTCCTCAGCTAGGTGGTGAGTACATGTGTGCGTGCGTGGCCTTCATATAAAGCCTTACACAGCAAATATTTATCAAAACATCTTCCAGCATCCCCTTTGCAGTTTGGGTGTTTAACTTTTCTTTGGGGGTTAAAGCTTGCCCTGCCTCCTGCTAGCCAAAATTAACCTTTCCTTAGGCTTTTAAACTTGACCTGACTTGTCCTAGCCTGACCTTGCACTGGGAGGAGGGTGGGCTGTGGTGTCCCTGCTACCTTGGCCTCTGCCTGGTTACTCCAGGACGAAGGATGCTCACAGCATCTCTGTTCCACATGCTTTTGCTTGTGTAGGCAGAAAGTCTCCAGCTTTCCTGTTCCCACTGGAGGTCAATGCCCGGCAGTTCCCTGTTCTTTTCTGAGCTCTGGTTGTCTGCTGAGAGCAGCCGTGCTGGGGCAGGGGAGCTGGCCTGCAAGGGGGCTGTGAATGCCCTGGATCTACCAGGACCAGCATAATGGGTCTGGGGACTTGGATTTTTCTGCCTTTATCTACCCTGGTGACAAATACCCCTGTATCAAAGTGCTGGTTTTCCCTTTCTCCCATGCAGGTGTGAATTGCTGTCCTGGTCGAAGAGGTGGCTGTGCCCTCTTGGGGCCTGCAGAATTCCCTTTATGCCAGGTGCTGGCCGCTGTGCTCACTTGAGCTGAGGACAGAAAATGGAGCTGTTACACGGTTAAATCCTCTTGAATCCCAGTCCTTTTGTAACATGTCCGTGCTCTGTGCAGCTGCCCTGGGAAGAGCTCTCCTGGCCAGGGCAGTGGGGATGCTGGGGCAGCTGAAGTGATGCCACGGGGGAGCTCTGCTGCTCAAGCGGCTGCTGTCTGTGTAGGTTGTGTTCCCAGCAGTTAGCTGTTCATTTATAAAGCCCTTTGGGCTGGCAGCAGGCAGTCTGTCCATGGCCACCACGCTGCTCTCCTGGAGCAGCCCGGAGGAAGCTGCAGATGCTCGGCTTCCCTCAGGGTCAGTGACCGTGAGTGCCTCCCCGGGGTACCCGAGGCCGTTCACTTTCTCAACTCAGGAAGAAAACAGCACGGCAGGGCAGGGGTTGCTGGACAGAGGGGACCCCGCAGGAAATGTGCTCACCCTGCACAGGGAGGATGAGGCATCTGCCAGGGAGAGGAGGGAGGCTGGCACCTCGTCTCGCTCAGGGCATTGGGGCTGCTCCTGCAGCACTGCCAAGTTCTCACCTGTCCTTCTCCCTCAGTCTTTTCTGGCAAAAAGGTTCAGGGGAGTTGTTGTGAGCCTCCTTTCTGAAATAACCCCAGTCTGTTTTGTGCTGGAGGTTGCTTTGGGGTCGTGATGGGCCTCAGCAGCACAGCAGAGGTGCAGGAGGACAGTGGCACACAGGGCAGGTGTGCACAAGGTGTGAACTGCTCTCTGATGTTCCCCAAACAGCAGCTGAGAGTCTGGGTGCATGAAAAGCTCTGCCTTAGTGGGGTGGTGGCAAACCAGATTGTTCACAAACCCAGACAAGAGGCAAAAAGCATCCCAGTGGTGTTATCCACAGACATATGGTGTCTGTGGTCATGGAGCTTTCCAGGGGTGTGGGAGATGTGAGTTCACCCAGTGGTAACAGGAAACACCCCCTTCCCAGGAGCGTGCCTCAGTTTCCTCACAGCGTGTATAAAATCAGTGGAAGGGGGAGCAGTGAATGATGTGCCTTTCAAACAGGGCTTTGCTAGGGAATTACTGCAGGAATACAAAATAAGGAATATTTCTGCATGGGAAAAAAATTATGAAGTAGCTTGAGGCAGCATGTGAGGCTGCTCCCTTGTCTTTATCCTCTTCCACTCTCCATCCCCCTCCAGCTTTTTCCACCCGCCCTGGTGTGAGCATGTCCTGAGTTAAAGCAGTCTTGGCAGAAGCACCAAGCCCTGCAGCCCAAACTCCTGCTGAGGGAGGAAGGCAGCGTGCAACGTGAATGGTGTCAAGGAAGCTATAGGAAGATTAGGAAATGTGTGATGAGTTTTGATAAGTGGAGGAAGCAGGTCATGTCCTGCCTCGAGTGGGCTCTGCTGGGGGTATGAAAGCAGCCTCTGCCTCCGCCAAGAACCACTCGGTCTCATCAGCGCTCTCTGCTCCGGCTGAGGATGTGCTGGGCTGGCAGGACGATGCTGGGGACCTTCAGCATCTTGCTAGTGCTTGTCCAGGCAGCAGCAGCCTGTGAGTTTGGGCCCTTCCCCTACAGAGCCACAGGGATCGTCTGCAGGATGACCAAGCCCGCGGCATTGCTGTGTAAGTGCCCTGGGGCTGTGCCTGCCCCATCCCTCCCAGAGGGGCACATCAGCCAAGTGAGGGAGTTTCTTGCTTCTCTCTTGTGTAAGCACCTGCCTGGGAGCACAGGTTAAAACATGAACAGGCAAAGGAGCTAGAAAATTATTCTCAGCCCAAGGATTTAGTGTTGTTCCTGTTGGGGCTTGGCGTGAGGAAAGAGCTCGAAAAAATGTGTGTTTGATTTCTCTCCTCATTGCAATCTCATCTCTTGGGGCCGGTATGCAGAAGGGGGAGGGGAAACAGGTTCTCTCCTGCTGTGGGCTTATTTGCAAGGATTTGGGATCTTTGCAGATGGGGGAGGAACTTAATTCTTCTGTGGAGGGTGGGAACAGCTCTGTCATGTCCCATCTGACTGTGGTACCTGCAGAGAAAGATGTATTCATGCTGGGCTGAACTAACAGAGGGTATCTCTGGAAGGAAAATGTCCTGTACAAGCATGTGCCTGAGGCTGGAATGGGCTGTCTAACGTTAGGAAAATGAGCACAGAAACTTTTTCAGAATTTTTTCTTTATAGACCCAAGAGCTGACTGCAATACAAGTAAGCAGCAACAAAGCAAAGCACTGGGGTAAAGTCAACAGCTTGTGTGGTGTAAGGATGAGCACAGCCTTGACCTTTCCAAAATCTGCTCCTGAGGTGTGTGAAAGCTGGCCACGACTCCCTGGAGACAGCTCCCACCGGTGGCTGTCGAGCCTCACACGCTCTCGTCCCTTGCTGCCACCAGCTGTTACAGTTAGGGATTTAAAAGTTTTTAAATTTACTCTGAAACTACTTCCAGTGCTTCCTGAATCTAATGCAAATTCCTTGGGTAAAAGACTTCTGTAGTGCTTTAATCCAGAGTGAGGATCTGGCTTTGCAGCCAGGAGAGATTGCAGTTTGATGTCTTTGCCATTTTCTTCCTCCGACAGTGAACCAGGAAACGGCCCAGGTCATTCAAGCAGCCTTCAGAAACGCCAAATTCCCCAACATCACTGGGGAAAGGTCCATGAGGATCCTGGGCCGTGTGGCTTATGGGCTGAGCAAGTGAGTATCTCTGTCTCTGTGCTGGGAGGTGATGGGGGAGAGAGGGGACCAGAAACTGGCCTTGGAGGGACCCTTGATCCAGTAATTCCTGGTGAAAGCAAAGGTCTGGACTGGGGAAGACATAGTTTTGGATCTAAGCCTCACAGACAATTTGCCTGTTAAGGTTTAGGCTGCTAATGTGTTATTTAAGAGTTATTTGGTTTTCCAACTGAGTGGGCAGCCAGCAAGGCAGTGTGCAGAGCTCATTTCTGACAATGGGGATGGGCACTAATGTCCTTGTGGGCTGGGGTACCTGTGGCCACTGATGACATATGGTGCCCAAGGCACACTGAGAGGCAGAGGGGACACAATGAGAGCTGCCAGAGCCACCCCTGTCAGCAGGATGTCACTTTGCTTTGTGACAAACCAGGCTGGGTGCTGCTGTGTTACTCGCTTTTATTTTGAGGCCACAGATTGAGTGGTGTAGTCACAGAACAGGCTTCCTGCCATGACCACGGCTGCACACAGCACTGCAATAAAGCATTGTTCCATGTTTCCTGCTTACAGCATTCCCCAGCCTTGTATCCAAACAGTGCACAGTGCACCAAGGCTGAGCAAGTGTCACTGTCCTTGTACCTGGCCCTGGGACTTGCAAAAGCTCCAGAGTATGGCACAGGTCCCTCAGAGATCCCATTCCTCAGGAATAAACCTGTCCTGCCCTGCAAACAGCGCTGGGTTGGGGACAAACTACATTTCTCTTGTTTCTAGCATCCAGGTCAATGACTTGTCCATCCAGAGGAGTGAGGTGGAGCTCAAGGAGGACAAAGCCATTCACATCTCCATTAAAAACGTGACAGCCTTGTTCAAAGGGACCCTGACCTATGGCTATGCCGGGGCCTGGTTGTAAGTACCCAGGGCTGGGAGCTGCTGGGTGCCACAGCCCAGCTCCTGCTGCTGCCTGCGGCACTGACCCGTGACAAAACACAAATGAGGGGCTGCACTCCTCAGTCTCTGGCAATGGCTGCACTGAGGACTGCCTGGGACAGGATTTTGTACTCCAGCAGCGCTTCTAAGCCCCACCTTGATTTTTGCCTGTTTGTCCTCACCTCGCATGACAAGACCAGATGGCCAAAGCATAGGAGTTGGCTTCTTCTCTCCCTTTTGTTGCTCTGTAAACTCTGAGTGGATAAAAAGGTGGGGGTTAAGGCCCCTAAGTGCCACTAAGGCAGCAGTTTGCAACGATCTAAAGCCAGAGTATGTGAGATGGGCTGTGGTGTGCTGGGGGTTGGCCCACTGAGGTGCAAGGACAGATATGAGAGGTGTTATAAAATCACATCTGTCAGGGAGAAGCTGCTCCTGGCACAGGCTCCTAAATGCCCCCTCTTCTGCCATTACAGCTTGCAGCTTTTTCATTCAGTTGATTTTGAAATTGAGTCTTCCATTGACCTCCAGCTAAATATCGATCTGGGTAAGTACGCTGCAATACCCAAACTTTTTGCAAAGTGACTGAATTCCCTCCCCACTCTGGTTTGTGGGTTGCATGTACTGTCTAGGCACTCCTGGGTCATGTTAGGGGACAGCTGAGTCTCTGCTGGCAGCAGCTAGGGCAGCTGGCAGGTATGCCAGAAACCCTCCAGGTGCAAGGTAGCCCCATCTGCCCCGACTACACCACTGGAATCTTTTGGAAGCATCCCCTGGGAGACGTGGGGAGCCCTGGCTGGCCCGCTGCAGTGATGCCCTGCTCCAGGCCTGCAGTGTCTGCAATGTGCACTTGTCCTTCTCATCTCAGTAACAAATTGGCTATTATTTCCCCCCCCTTTTTCCTTTCATCCCATGCAGTCTGCCAAAAGGACCAAGTGGCTCCTGATGCCTCAGACTGCTACCTGACTTTCCACAAACTCACACTTCACCTCCAAGGAGACAAGCAGTGAGTCTGACCCCTTTCAAAATCGAGATTTATTGTCCCCCTGCTGGTCCCCAAATGCCACCCACCCAAATGTGCAGACTTTGGGTGGTCCTTGACTGTGCTCCCTGTCTTACACAGACCTGGCTGGCTGAAGCAGCTCTTCACAGATTTCATCTCCTTCACTCTGAAGCTTGTCCTCAAGAGGGAGGTAAGCTCAGCCTGTCAACAGGGGAAAGCTCTCTTTATCTTTGTATGCCGAACACTTTTCTTGCCCATGAGACAGTAGCAGTGTAATGTTAGAGCTGATTAAAAATGAGTCAAATAAATTGAGTCCACAAAAAAAAAAAAAAAAAAAAAGCAGCTTGGGAAAAGTGAGAGGTGTTGCTGACCCTGAGGCTGCTGGACTCTGACCAACAAGATCTCAGTGAGGCTCAGCTCTGTTCTACAATCCAAAATCCTACCCCTTCCCCTAAATTTTTCCCCTCTTTTCCTCATGTAGGTGTGCAAGGAAATAAATGCTGTTGCTCAGACGCTGACCAATTTTATACTTGATTTAGCAGGTAAATATTCTTGCTTTTTCTGCTTTCTTTTTTTATGTGCAGCTTTTAATGTTCGAGCCCTGGCAGAGCGGTAGCCACATCTATCAAAAATGCCCTTCAAAAATGTGTATGGGATCCCAAGCCCTCAGACAGCAGCAAAATAAACCTTAGTGATGTTGTGTTTGTATTTTTCTGCATCAGGTTGATCTTTTAGGGTGATTACACAGATTCAAAAACATTTCAATTCATAGGGAAGTTCTTTAGTATCTACTGATCAGCTGTGCAGGATACTGCAGGACCAATGTTAGGTAGAACAGGAGCATGCACTGCAGTATTAGGGATGAGACAGTCCAGCATCTGGAGATTTTCCCAGTCCCAAATATCAGGGAAAAGGAATGGAATGTAAAACTGAGCGTAACTATCCCAATTTCCCAGTGAAAAATCAGTGAGCTGTAGCAGGATCAGTGCTAGCATTCAGAGGAGTGGGAACCTCTGTCCCACCCCTGTTCTTTCATAAGCTGTTCCTGTCACCACCTGCACCAAAAAGTGACTGTCACAAGCTCTGCTCGAGGTCCTGTTTGTGGTGTGAGGTTTTTGTGTTCTCTTCCTGCAGCCAATTTTGTCCGGGATAAGGACATCGTTGTTGATATCTCCCTCGCATCAGACTCTGTGATAAAAGCAAGCTACATAGAATCCCACCACAAGGTACAGTAACCCAGGCTGCCCAGGCACCAGGTGTTTTCTGGAGGGCTTGCAGGGGCTGGTTCTTTGAGGCTGTGCCATGGCACTGCAGCCTGAGCTGATGCCAACCTGCTCCCTGCTGTGTCCAGCATTTGCCTTGCCATGGCAATGCAGGTGTTGACCCTTTGTCCTGTCTCCTGCTGCTTGCTTGTTTTCCTTTACAGGGCCTTGTCCTGTACAAGAACAGCTCCAGCGTGCTCAGTGACTCTGTGTTCTCCCCGTCGCTGCTGACCGAGTCCCGAATGCTCTACTTCTGGCTGTCCGAGCACAGCCTCAGCTCTCTGGCTGCAGCAGCTTTCTTAGATGGGCGGCTGCTGCTGAACCTCAGAGGGGAGAAATTGCAGGTGATGCCCAGAGCAGTGCTCTCCTTGCCTCATACATTGTATTTTGGGGCAAAAGTGAAACATTCACTAAATACTGTGTTTTGGTAAGAGCTGGTTTCTGTAGAAGAGAGAAATCTACACTCAGTCACTACGTGTGATCCTGGAACTGCTGGGCTCTTATCAAGAATGTGCTCCCAGGCAGTGTTATTCCTTGGAGTGATAACAGCAGCTGATAGAAAATTGTCTGTTGAATTGTAAAGGGATGTGATTTTCTGGGGGATGACAGAGATGGAAAAAAGGGTGGGACCTGGGGGAGCTCAGCCACAGCCTGCACTGGGCACAGTGCTCTGGCCTGTCCAGCCTGCACCAAGGGTAGCCATAACCTTGCCTTTTGTTTTTCTGGTTTGTTTCTGAAGGAGCTGTTTGAGATGGAAGACACAGAAGAGCAGCGGAAGGCAGTGCAGATGGTAACTTTTTGTCTCACTCAGAGCATTGCATGCCAAATGAGGACATTTCAAATGGATTCTGTTGTACTGTAACAACCTGGGTCCTTCCCTTGGCAATGTGAATCTTGGGTGGGCCAGAGGGAGAAAAAGAGAGGCTGATGGAGAAGCAGTTGTGGTTTGCAAGGAGGATTTCTCCATCTTCTATGCTGGCACAGTTTCCTTGAAACCTGGCTGAGATACTTGGCTTGTGTGAGCAGGAGGAAGAACTGGGGACTGCAACAGGAATGCAGCTGTGTGACAAGTTGGCATGAAATTGGTGTGTGACAAGTTGGCATGAAATTGGTGTGGAAAAAACCTGACTGGCCTGTTGCTCTTTACTTGACCAGATTTTTCAAGGAACCTCCTACAATGACTCTGTGGCCAAGGTGTGGAGTCTCACCCAGCCCCAGATTTCTCTTCAGCCTGAGGGGACAGTGGTGAGGTCCTTGGTGGCAGTGGAGGTCAGCATCCTGCTCGCAGGAGAAGAGCCCCTGGTGTCTCTGTACATGGAGAAGGTCAGTTCTTGCACCTCCTGAGCATGGACACCTTGGGACAGGCTCTGTCCCAAGTCAGGACCTTTCCTGGTGTGCAGGGACAGCAATGACAGGGAGCCCTTTGGGAAGGGTGGGTGCATAAACCACAGGAGGTAGAGAAGGCAGATCATTTTTTTTTAACACTGCCATCTGTTCCTTAGACATTTGAAGCTGGAAATGATGGTAGTGACCATGTTGGCTCAATCCCCCCTCATTAGGCCAGCCCACTACTGGTGTGCAAGCAGCAGAGAGCTCTGATGAGCCCCCATTAACATTTATTTGACACAAGGTAGTGCCAGTGAGTTATTCCAGGAGAGAATGAAGGCACCATGGGAATGTATTTATTTTGAACCCTCCTTGTACCCAAATTCTAGCTCAGATCCCCACTAAGGGTTATAGCTGTGTCAGAAATGGAGATAGAGAGCTCTGAAGAATGTGAAGCTCAAAATATAACCTTTTCCTCTGTGTGTGCCTGTATGAAGGGTCCTGATTACACTGTGTTTCACCACAAAATGCTTTATAGTGAATCTAAGGGAGTGGAGAAAGGAAATGCTAACAGCTTTTCTGCCATGGTTATCATCACAGGAAAGAAGTGTGGTTTCCAGTCTTATAGCTGAGGGCTGAGACAGGCACAAAACCAACCCAAATCCTTGCCTGAGGGTTGGCTACACTCGATTTGAAAGGTTAAACCACAGCTGAGAATAGTTCCCTCAGCAAGTATCCCATGTTTGCAGGGTGTTAAAGGAAATATGTATGGCTGTTTCTTGTGCCCCAAGTGGTATCTTGAAATATATTCCAAGGATTGCAGAAGCACTGGACTAGAAGTGGTCCTCAAAATTGTGGCTCCTAGGATGAAATCTGCTCCTGGTAGTGACCTGCAACTACATCACAAGCTGTTCCTCTTAAATTAATGTTTATATTCAGACAACAGCAAGACGATGGCCTGAAATGGCAGGAATTCAGAGATTGCTTACTCTTTTTTTAATCCGGTTTATACTGGATTGACTACCTGTGGCAGCCCTGCCTACCCTGAGGCTATTCCCTCTACATCCAGTCAGATGTTGAGATGGATGTCATTGGGAAACAATACCTTCCACAGCCATTTCCATCCTTATGCAGGATTTACAAAATAGCAAAAGTCCAGTGGATGAGCCAGCCTGGAGCCCCAGAGACTGTGGGCATGAGGGGGGGTTTATTTCATTCAGGTGGAGAAGAAAAGTGCTCTTTTGGCTTTCTTGGAGGTAAAGCCAAAAGGATACTGAACTCTGGCTCCTAGAAAACAACCCAAAAGATCCAAATGCAGCTCCTTGCTATGAGGCTATGCCTGAACCCTGCTGTTGTCTCTGCAGGAAATCACAGCCACTATCCAAGCTACCTATGCAGAAAAGAAACTCATTTTGCAGCCTGTGGACTCCAGGTTGGTACTGTGCTCTCCTGAGAGTTGTCTCTTTTGGCCCATGTTTAAGAGCAGCACAAAAAGAGGATCCCTGCAGCACTTAGTGACTTTTCTTCCCCTTTTTCCCTCTTTTCCTTCAGTGTCGAGATTAAAGTGTTTAAATGCATAGCTGATCCAAGTGGGGTAAGTCCTACAGAAAGTATTCTCTAAGCCATTTGAGGCTAAGCAATGTCTTTTAAAGCATTTTTGTATGAATTTTCTGATTTTCAGGAGGACCCATCCATACAAAGCTTCCTGAAGAATATGATCTTGGTTGCTGGCATTCCAGAAGTAACTTCAAGTGAGTTTTCATTTGGGGAAGTGCCAGCCTGCTCCATAAACTACCTAAACCTGAGCACTGAAAAAATACATCAATAACACTGGCAACTAGGAAGGAGAGGGAACCACATTAATATATTAAATTCTGCTGGATACACTTAGGGAATGAGGAACCCTGTGCAAATGGCTGGGAGAAGGGAAAAGTGAGTTTTCTGTCAGGCTGAAGGTCATGGGACATTGAGGCACAATTAGCTTTTGGCAACAGGCAGCACACGATGAGCAGCAAGCCAGGATGGGCATCCCTGTAACTGATGGGTTTGCTGGCTCCACAGGTATTGGATCAGCTCTGACTTCACTGATGAACAGCAAAAGGCTTGATCTCTTTGATATCATAAATCCTGAGATCATCACCAGAAAGGTAAGCAGAGCTCAGAACTACTCAGCTCTCAAAGCCCTCTTGGGATTGTGGCATGAACTAATATAATATTTTCTGTTTTCTCCCCACTTTTTAGGGATATGTAATTGTACAGCTTGACTTTGGCTTCCCAAGTCATTTGCTTCTTAATTTTCTTGAGAAAAGTTGGTAGAGCTCATCCCTCCACAGAGGAGCACAGGAACTTGTGTACAACCAGAAAAATTGCATCTGAACCAATTAAAAGATGAGCTGCTTTGAATCAGTTTCAATTGAATTTCATTTCCTTTTCCTGAGAAACGTTCTAGGCTCTGTGCAACTGTGCTTCCATGGAGTCTTTATTCTGCAAAGATTTTGAAGTCTGCACCTCAATCCATGCTACTTTTCCAGGATCTTTAAGGGGCTTGTGTTTTTAGGAGTCACGGCTGGGCTCTTGAAGTGCTCAGGCTTTGGGTTAGCAGTCTCAGGAGACAGCAGAAATGGATTTTGCCACCTTTTGGTCTCTCTGTTGCTACATTTTGGAAATACAGCATCTTTCCTGCTCATCCTGGGTTTCCCTTCTGCCAAGAGCATCCTGATTTTGACAGAATCCAGCAAGTCAAATGATATTACCAAACTCCAAGTAAGCTCAGAACCAGTAATGCTAAAAGACCTGGATATGGCTGGAAAAAGTAAATGGGATGTGAATTTGGAGTGCAATAAAATAACAGAGAGATCTTGTGGCCAGGGTAATTTCTCTACAGCCCCTGATGGTTCAGTGTAGAGCTCCAAACTGATAATGGCCATGTTGTTGGGACAGTGATGGCAAAGATGAGAAAAGCAATGAAAATTATAAGGAAACCTAAGAGATTATATGAGAAAGTTTAACTGTCTAGTCCAGCAGCAAGTTCCTTTTCCTTCCTACTACAGTGCAATAATTTATCTCAAGTGGCTCAGTTATTTTCCTGTACCAGTTCATACTTCTTTTTTTTTTTTTTTTTTTTTTTGAGATTTCGGTTTGCATTTTCACTTGGAGGAGATCTTGGATGACAAATCCAACACCTGTATTAGTGATCACATTAACAAAGGTGACTCGATCTTCTCGAGTGTGGCCCGGCTAGCTCAGTGATGAGGTTTCTCTTCCCTCGAGTTTCGAGCCAGCATATGTTTGTGGGGTTCACTGATTTTCTTCAAGAATCCAAGTCTATAGAGCGAGTAAAGAAATCAGGGGGGGACTCTCTCTCTGGTTTGCATTCCACAGTTTATTTCTGTGAAGGGGAATCCAAAGGATGAGAGACAAAGGATTTGGGGTCTGGGGGGGTCTCTTTTAACAGGGTTTCTCGGAGGGAGGGAACATCAGAGAGGGAACCAATTATTTTCTCAGTTAGTACATTTTACAAACTTTCTACAAATCAAGGTTACACACGCCAAGATAAAAAATAACAGACACCAACTTCTTCAAATGCCCACAAAGGTGTGGGAGTATTCTATACAGAGGGGCAGAGGGGGAGAGAGGGGGGGCCTGGTTTCCTGGCAACACAGGGGGGAAAGAAAGGGAAGGCAAGGTAAGCATGCCCTCTCAGCTTCCATAGTTTAGAGGCATTCTGGGACAGGAAAAAGTTACAAACTTCCGTGTTGGAAAGAAGAGTTCTCTTCTCCCAACCCCGTGCTTTCCTGGGCTAAAGAAACTTCAAGCAGCTGGAAATGCCAGCGGGGTCCTCTCTTTACTCTACCCGGCCTCTCGCCGTGGGGCTGAGGAGAGAAACTTCAGTAACCATGGTAACTTGACGCCAGGTAAACAGGAGAAAGAGAAGCTGGGGGGGAATTACAACTAAAAGATGGGAAAAGATACATTTCAGGCTATCAACTACAACACAAAGGTAGAGATGATGTGGTCCTCCACCACAGAGCAGTATACAAGCATTAAACTTCTCCCAGAAAGAGGCTGGTAGCAGGATGGGCTGTTTCCTGAGCTCCTTGAGCATGGTGATTGCTCCCCCTGCATTACCATGGATCTAAGCCAGGTCCCTCCGACCTGCTCCTCTCTCACCCACAACACCAGGGGCCCCTCCTTGTTCTGTGTGACTGCTGGGCTGAACATCCCTTCAGTGGTCCCTGTGCCCAGGCAGTGGCTCTGTGGCAGGAAGGTCTGACCCAGCTGTGAAGACAGCAGGAGCCACAGGCTACCAAGGGTGTGATGCTGTGGTGTGACTGTGGACTGGAAGTGGTGTGGTGGGCAGTTTTCTACCTCCCTTCTCACCCTGTTCCCATCTCTGACTCTGCCAGCTGTTTCAGTGCCAGCTCTTTCAGTGCCAGCCAAGTCCTTCCCTCCTGTTCCAAAGCCACCAGTGCTCAGGGGATGTTTTCTCTCCCTGCACAGCAATGTCTGCTAAGGACCATGGGGACCTGGCTTCCACCAAGCCACAGCCCTCTGCTTGTCTTAAATGACATCCCATTATCCTTTAATAAAAAGGAAATAGCAGAAAAAAAGCACCCAAGGGGCTGCCTTACCCTGGAGGGTGCTGTTCAGTGGGGAGTGGGCTGGGCTGTCCTTCCATCGGGGGATAACGAGAGCAGTGGAGCTGGGAAAGGATCTTGCTCAAGGATGTTAGAGGTCTTTATATACTAAATGATTCCAGGAGGGAAGCAATAACACCTCGGATGCCTCTCCTCCCTCCCCTGCAGCCCGGCTCCAGCCTCACGTGTTTTCCCGGCAGAGCCGCTCCGCTGCTGTTTCGCTTTCGGGCGCGGCGCTGTCCCGGGCTGGCAGCAGCGGACACGGCGGGGCCAGGTGAGCGGGGACACGGGGACCCCGGGACATGGGGACATCGGGACCCCGGGATATTGGGACATCGGGACCGCGGGACATCGCGCTGGGCATCCCGGGGACGGGCGGGGCCAGGGGTCGTGCCGGGGTACGAGGGTTTGCAGGGCTGGAGGTCTGGCTCTGCTCCCCAGCACTTAGATGTTCGTGTCCTATGCGAAAAGCCGGGATGGAGAATGAAATCATGAGCGCTGGAAAACACCTCCGAGGTGGCCGACTCCAAACTTTAGCAGAACAGGTGACTTGTGCTTCCCAGGCACAAGGTGGGCTAGAGCCGGCTCAGGAGGTGACAAAGTGGGGCAGAGCCTGGCTGGTGTCACCATTGCTCCCTCCATCCACCCCCGGCTCTCCAGAGCTCTCCCCACTCGCAGCACAGTGCTCAAGGCAGGACAACCAGAGTTTGTTTTTGTCCAGAGACACGGGTGTTGCTGGATTTTCACTTTTTTTTTTCCTCTCATAAGTGAATTATGGCACAGCACCGTGGGCCATCTTTGCCTTCTCTGGGACTCCATCTGATTTTCCAGTGCAGCTTCCCTGGCCTTCAGAGAAATATTAATAACATGTCATTGTTTTTTGTTACCCATCTGATTAGATCTGGAGATCTCTGCACACACAGCTCTATCTAGACATGGGATCCTTTATCTAATTACTCATATCTGCTACATTATCACTTAAACCTTGTCCTTATTCCAAAGGAAAAGCAACTTGTTTTTTCCTCTTAGATATAATGGAAGAGGTAATGAAATATGTCCCCATGTGCCACAATAATCAGATTTATACATGTAAATAGAAATATGCTCATTGCAAGTGCCTTAACCAAAACCAAGTCAGAGGTTAGTGTTTATCCCTGGGTACCATTTATTTACACCACTCCTCAAATGCTTTACCTAAATTATGACCTAGATACAGATTTTAAGCTAGGCTGTTACCCTTCCTCTGACTGGATATTTTTACTCATTTCTTTGTTTTTACTGAAGATGCATTTCAGTAGGGGAATTCCTGGCCGATATTGCTTTCATTTTGCTCAATCTTTTGTTCATTAGTTCCTGAAAGCCACGGAGGGGCTTTGTGTCTCGGGACAGTGGTGGGTTAGCACATGGGGAAAACCAGGCAGTGAATATTGTCCTCCAGCTTTGTTGTTTGGTGACCTCCACACTGGTTTTGGTGCTGCTACTCTGCTTCTGGGCTTCTGGTAAATACTGTGTGTCCTCAGAGCAGGCAAGAAGTTGGTATATTTGCAACAGGGAGTTTCACATTTTGGTTAAGTTTTTTTTTGCGGCTGGGACCAGTGTGAATGCCAAGTTGGGGAGGGGAGGTTAAGTTTTGCTAAGTATGCTAAAGATAGTTTTGTATTTGAAGGGCAAGGATCAGAAGTTTTCTGGCTTTTCTTGGCACCTTTTTGTGCTTTATTTTGGGATCAGAAGTATTTTATTGAAGATAACTGCAAGTCATTCCTGATGGTTTTATTGAGCAGAGCAGTAGTATAGGAGCTGTGCAGTGTGGCTGGGCTTCCACCCAGCTTTTCAGTTTTGTTTTGTTCTGGAATGTGAGTCTTTCGTTAATTTGTATGAGTCTACTCCTTGCCTGAATGGCTCTCAGGGCATTAAGGGCTGATTTTATTCATTTATTTATGTATTTAATATGGCTTTGTTAGGTCTCTTGTTCTTGATGGGAGAGTGATTGCTTTCCTCTTCCCTTTCCCTGTGGTAGGGGTGGCTGGACACCAACTACTGCCTGGTGCACAGCTGGGTGACATTTCCCTTTGCCCTTTCTGCTGAGAGGGAGCTGGCACTGGGGGAATTTTCAGCACCCTACACTTGGAGCTCTTTTGTGAGAGCTGTGTATTCTCAGAGGATCAGCTTTTCACAGTTTTTCTGGTGTGACTGACTGCCCAACTTGAGCAAGATGCTGCACCAGCATGCACAGAGGGGCTGACAGCAGCAGAGTGGCATAGCCCAGCTCAAATCAGGCAGTGACACCAGGAAAGCTGTGATTCCCACAAAGTGTTCCTCTAAAGCTGTCTTCACTTGCATCCTAGGGCACAAGGCTCAGTCCTGCGTTTTCATGAGACCAGGAGTGAATCTTCAAATGTCAAAACTTTGTGGTCACTGCTGGTTCTGATGTTTTGGTGCTGGATTGAGTGAGAAGAGAAGAAAAGCATCATAGCTGACCCTTGGATTAAACGCAGAGCTTCTAGATTTGTGACCTGTGTAATTGCCATGGCCTGGCAGGTCTACACCAAGCTCTGTTGTTGTTATCCCCCGGCATCTGCACCAAGTGAGGTATGTCCCATATATTGGGGTGTGTTCGTGTGCTGAGACTGCCTCCAGCAGATCAATTCTCTCTCAGAATATGGAACAGAAGCCACCTTTGCACTTGACAGCTGGAAGGAGACTGATTCCACAACGATGCAGGTAGGAGATCATGTGTGTGGCTTTGTGGGAAGGGAGTGGGAACGGAGGTGATGTTGTCACCAAAGCAGAAATGAGTTGCTCATCCCCACAAAGTGAGCAGCAAGAACAGCTGTCTGAGCCCTTTGTGCAGGGGGGTCCTGCACACACTTGTGAATTGCTAAACAGCTGAACAAGTAAAGCAAAAGCTGCACACACAAGGAAAGCAAAACAAGGAATTCATTCACAGCTTCTCATGGGCAAGCAAGTGTTCTGCCATCTCCAGGAAAACAGGGCTCCATCATACATAATGGTGATCTGGGAAGACAAACATCACTCTAACTCCCTGCCTTCTTCCTTCTTACCCCAGCTTTGTGTTCTGAGCACAATGTCATGGCCAGTTCAAGTCAGCTGTCCTGTGTTCCCTCCCAACTCCTTGTGCATCCCCAGCCTATTGGTTGGTAGGGTGTTATGAGAAGCAGAAAAGGCTTTGACTCTGTGTAAGCACTCTTGAACAGTAACAAAAACATCCCTGGCGTCCCCAGAGATCCTGGTATATGTGAGAGATGCCTGGGATGTTATATTTGTTATCTGCAGCAATACAGATGTCAACAGCTTCTCCTTGGCTGGTGCCAGACTGTCCCATGGGTTGCCCCTGTCCTTCACAGTCCTGCTGTCAGGCACTGTGCAGACAAGGACTGCTGTCCTTGCACCCCTGTGACTGGGCTCAAATCTCTGTTCTGAACTCGGGACTAAGGGTAAGAAATTCTGGGTTAGGCCAAGGGGTTGAAAAGCAGATCAGTCCATGCAGGGCTGTGTGGGTGAACATCTCTTGCTCCTGTGTCCATTGCTACCCTTGGTCTTCATCCCTCCAGCCCCCGTTTCAGAATGAGGACCGAGACCTGCAAGCAGCTGTAGCAAGAGCCCGTCCCCAGCTCATGGAGCTCCTCGCTCACTGTCCCGACTGGCTGCTCACCACCTCCCAGCACTTCATCCCCGAGGCAGCCCTGGGCAGCCTGGGTGCCATCACCAACCCCAGACATAAAATCTCACTGCTCCTTGAGCTGCTGGAGGAGGCTGGTCCTGCTGCCTGGAGCCACTTTGCACAGTCTGTCTGCATGGAATGTGACCTGCCCCTGGATCTGGAGGTCCTGCTCATGAGCTCTGTGGGCGAAGGTAAGAGAGGTCAGGCCAGATTCCCCTGACCAAACACAGCCAATGCCTTGGCCACCCATTACCATTGCCCAGTCTAGGCAGTGGGAGCACCAGTGCCCTCCCTTGCATGGCTTTGTTTTCCTTGGAAGCACAACTTCTGGCTTAGAAATGTAATTTGAGGTAAAAACCCCCTGACATTAACAGATGAAGCCAATAAAAAGTGTGCACCCCCACCTCAAATAAAGCTGAGATACAATTTTTGGGTGGATTTAATTGAAGGAGAAAAGATTCCAATCTCTTCTGTGGACTTTTAATTGTTATTTTTTTAGAATTTCCTGATCAAGAAAGGCAAGGAATACGGAAGTCTTAAAATAACCACTGAAAACACTTCTCCATATTTCTCATTATCAGAGGCAATGGCTTTAGAAGAAAATGAGGCAATTCATAGGGACCACGATCAGTTAGGGTGTGTTATCTTACAAACTACACAGAGTGTGCACGCTCTGCCTTGGGAGGGGTGTGGCACCAGCTAAGCTGTGCCTCTGCTCTAGTGGGTTGCTTTATCTGGTGATTAATTCTTCTCTTCTGCAGGAAGTCTTACAGGATGAGTCCTTCTCAGTGGTACTGTCTTTCACACACTTGTGGGCTTGCAGGAAGCCTTACTGGTTACATCAGCTGGGCGGATGCAGCCTTTGAACCCAAGTGCAGCAGCAGCAGCTACTTTGGCTGGGATGAAACAGGGCAAAGGCCAGACAACCAACAGAGAATGCTGGAGGATTTCCCTCAGGACTGAAGCTGAAATAGTTTTCAGCCTTTTGATACTGTGACATGCTATAAAAGAAGATGTCCCTTAAGGTTTTGGAGCTGGCTTATAATGGTTTAACTTCTGTGGTGACAGCTGAGCATCACTAATCCTTCTGAAAGTGAATTGCTTCTGGCTGTGCTGAGGGGGTTTTGTGGCAGCTTTGGGCTATGCAGTGAGTCAGAAAAGGCTCTTGACTGGACTCATGACTCTGCCAGTGGTTTATTCACAGAAAACCCTTCTTTGCAGGGAAAGTAGGGCTTCCCTTTTGGGCCACAATGTGGTTTTAGATCACCTAAAGTTGCCCATACTCCAAGTTTGTTTGTATCAGAGAGTAAAGTTGTTTTTCTTCTGTCTTGAGAGCAAAATTACCTTTACTATAGAGTAATCTGGAAGGAAAAGATCAGATGGGGACCACAAAACCTGGATGTTTGCATCCCTTGTACTGAGTCTTGGTTTGTGCCACTGTCTGCATTGCAAAGTGCTTGCCCTTTGTCTCTGGCCAGCCTCACTCCAAATTTCAAGAGCAGAATGCTCACACTAACCATAATTGATTTTCCATTCAACTCCTTTAGGTAACTTCAGCCAGACAGAAGAAGCAGACACAGATATGAGAGCTCGATCACCTGTGCCAAAAGGTAAGGCTGGAGCACACCCTGGGACACTGTGCTCGTGGAGTTTATCTTCTCTGCTCATGGCCTCATGCTCCAAATGTCCCAGGTATTGACCCTCAGCCCTGGCAAGGTGTGGAGAAGCCACTGCAACTTCACGTTTCATTGTTCTTTTCTTTGTGCTTTGCACGTGAACCTCCCTTGTTTTATTTTCTCTTCCTGAATTTCAGAAAAGCCTTGCTGACTCCCTGCTAAGGAACCCACTCATTTTAATTTCTCTGCAGGAATCTTCCACCAATCTACAAAAGCCATTTTACTGTGGTCAGCTCATTGGTAGGTGAAGGAAGTTGGTTTGGTTTTTAAAGGGAGAACAGAAAAACTATTCAGGCATTGATCAAGCAGAAACCAGTCCAGAGTTGTCAGAATAGGAGCTTAAGAGAACAGATAGTAGGGTTTTCTTCAGGGGTGAATTTGGAAGGGAGACTTTCCTAGCTGGTGCAGATCATGAAGAGACACTTTTGCCTCTGCTTTTTGCTCAGAGACTTCTGAGTCACAGCGCTGCAAAAGTCACACTACACTGCCCTGCGTGTCACCTGCAGGTTTAAGATCTTGAGAATAAGAAGAAAAAAGTGAACCATTCAGGACATTCAGACTGCTGCCAGCTTCTGTGGTGTCCTAGTGAGTCCATCTTGCTAGTTGCTGCTGGAATGGAAATTTGAAAATAGTGCTGAAGTTACTAAGACCAGTTAAGAAAGACATGGGCCTCTCTCAGCTCTATCCATTCTTCCCATCTGACAGTGCACCATAAAAAACAGGAAATATACCACTATAAACAACCTCAGGAATCTGTAGGCCCTGCATTTCCCAGAAACAGATATTCCCTGCCACATTCTCCAGGATATCAAAGCAGTTCCTCTTTTCAAAGCGAGGCAGGCACATCATCCAGCCTACAAAAAGACCCAAGGGAGGTGCTTGTGGCCCATCTCAGAAAAAACAATTCTTTAATCTCAGCCTGATTTTACAAATAGTTTTGTCTGTCCAATTTTTCCTCTTCAGCTCCCCAAATGCTTTTCTGGAGAGTCTTGCCCAGCTTTAATTGCTGCCATTCAAAATGCTCTCTTGACATGGTTCTGACCTTTCCATTTCCAGGGTCTGCTCGCCGTCACCGTTGCAGCAGCTCTGGGAGTGACAAGGATGCCAAACAGCAACGATTGGGTATGTGGATATTCCAGAAGCTGTGCTGGGCTTCCCTCTGAGAAAAGGATATATTTAATATCTTTGCAGAAATGCCCAGGAAATCAACTTCCAGCATTAAGAGGCCAGCATGGGTGAAGAGGGAGCTAGTGAACAGGAAATAATACACAAATGCCTAATTCTCATCTTAGAGATAGTAAGATTTAGTTGTCATATAAAGCTGTTTCATCTTTTTCCTGAATGTTGTTCTTCTTTGGCCCCTGTGAAAAATTAGGAAAAGTTATTGGTCATTTTCAGGAGTTAAAAATTTGTCATTTCTACCCAGCAACCTCTGAGCAGGGCCATTGCTTCTCCAAGTGGTAGTATTTTGGATCTGTCACGACTAACATTTTCACCCTCATAGCCCCTCTCTTGTCTTCTCTCTTAGATTCATCTGTGAAGTACCAGCATCTCCTCATCAACTCTATCCTCCAGAGATACGGAAGCAGGAGAGAAGCAGGAGCAGAAGAACAAACACAGCCACTGCCTTTTAACCAAACCTTTGTCAACGTTGTCATCCGTCAGAGCAAAGCCCCCAGGTTGTTTAAAGAGAGAGCAGAGAGACCCCGGGGGGACATGGCAGGTGCTCCTGAGCCAGAGGAATGTGCAGACACAGCCGTGAAAGTGTCAGATCTGCTTTGTAGCGAGGCCCCATCGCACACGACAAAGGTGGTCTTTTTGTTTGGCAAACCAGGCACAGGCAAGACCAGGCTGATGCACAGGATTTGTCAGAAATGGGCAGAAGGTGTCCTACCTCAGTTTCTCTTCACTTTCCTGTTTGAGTTTCGGCAGCTGAATTTGTTAAAAAGAAAATTGACGCTGAAGGAGCTTTTGTTTGACATGTTCCTTCGGCCAGAGGACAGCCCTGATGCAGTGTTCCAGGGCCTCCTGGAGAGTGCCCAGCAGACTCTGATCATCTTTGATGGGCTGGATGAGTTTGCAGCTAACATGGATGTGTCATCCTCCTCTAAGGGAGGCCCAGCTCTTACCTGCCCTGTGTCCATATCCCAGCTCTTTGCAGACCTCTGTCATGGGAAGCTCCTGCCTGGTTGCACAGTGTTGGTCACCAGCCGACCTAAGAGGCTACCTGGATTTTTATTGTATACAGTAGGTGTGCTGGCAGAGATTTGGGGATTTGACCACGAGAAGGTTGAGGAATATGTTAGCCACTATTTTTGTCAGCATTCCTGCAGAGAACAAGCCATTGCCCACGTGAAGAACAACACCAAACTCCTCAGCATGTGCCTCATCCCTGCTCTGTGTAACATTGTGTGCATCTGCTTGGAGTATTTGCTCCTTAAACACCAGATGAGCGTGGAGCTTCCTCAGACTATGACACAGTTTTATATCAAGATGTTTCTCATCTTCCTAAACAAGCAGCAAGGAGACTGTGCAGGTGATGAGGAGACTCAGCTGAACTGTAACAAAAAGGCCATTTTGGGTCTGTTTGATCTTGCACTGAGAGGCCTGGAAGAGAAGAAACTTGTATTTTATGTTGGTGATATTCCCGAGGACGTGAAGGAATTTGCTTTGTTGCATGGATTGCTGACTGTCTTTGAGGTGAAGACGAGTGGCACTTGCCCAGAGGTTGGCTATGCCTTTGTGCACCTGAGCTTGCAGGAGTTTTTTGCAGCACTGTGTCTCATGGTGAGTAGGAGGGTGGACAAGAACCACTTGAAGAAGAAATTCTTCCTGAAGTCGAAGTGGACTTCAAAAAATGAGACAAAGACTGAGTTTATGGAGAGTTTTCACATATTTCTCTCGGGTTTGTCGTCAAGAGAGTGTAGGACATTTCTCATGCTGCTGGCAGAGCAAGATGAAGCTTGGGTGCAGGAAAAGCAGGATGTGATCCTGCAGTCTCTCAAGAAACTGGCAGCCACTCATCTGTCAGGGCCTAAGGTCCTTGAGCTCTGCCACTGCACCTTTGAAACACAAAACCTCGAAATAGCCCAGCACATTGGGAACCTGCTGAATTTCAAGTACGAGTTTAAAAACTTCAGACTGACAATGCTGGACATGTCGGCTTTGGTTTTTGTCATAAACTCGGGCCAGGATTTGATTTGTTTGGATTTTGCAGGATGTCTTGTGGACACTGACTGTTTGGAGGTTCTGTCTGGCTGTAAAAATGTGGAACACTTGAGGTAAGCACAGTGAGTGCTCTGAACTGGTGGGTGGGGAGAAGGGTTAAGGGATTGGAAGGTCAAACCTCACATTTGTTCTAGAAGAGAGAAAGAGAGGTGATGTGAGAAAATTTGATCTGAACAGCATAAATTCAGTACTGCAGAAATGTATGAAACAATGAATTTGAGTGATTGAAGGATAATAAGGTGATAATCCATCCTGACTGTATTTTTGTTTGTTTTTCCATTTTGATTAAGATGAACAACAGGCCAGTTAATGCAGTAGATAAGAGGGAAGATGATAGGCATCTTCTCAATGCAATGGAAGGGTGAATGAAGCAAATGAGAATCTCAGCTTTTGATGTGTTTGTCTTTTTCTCCTTTTCTTCACATTTCAGCTTTCGTAGCAGGAGATGTGGTGATAACTTTGCTGCTGCTCTTTCAAAGGCCTTGCAAGGAATGGGGACCCTGAAGAAACTTGAGTAAGTCCTTGCTTGTAACACCAGTGCCTTCTCCCTTCCTGTCTGTCCTCTGTAATTCAGTGACATTGGCTCACCCCAGGCTGATCTGTGCAGTGCATGAGGGTGACAGTGCTGCACAGAGCAGCACAGACACGTGTGGCTCTCGTTTTGTGCTGCCCTGCTGGAAAAAGGAGTGTGAAGTTGGTTGTGGGTGGCAGAGCCAGACTGCTGCCTCTGTGCCTTCTGTGTCTGTGTGCTGGGCACACAGTGCAGGCACAGGTCTGAGACAGGCTTGCCATGTGCTGCAGGGGATTGTAGCAAATCCTAAAAAAAATCCCCCCCAAAAAACCCCCTTTTGCTTGGTTTGAGTGATCCTTCCTCTTTCCAGGCTGACAGGGGGGAGCATCACAGCTGAGGGGATGACCAGCTTGGTCCAGGCTGCATCACAGTGCCTTCAGCTTGAGGAAATAAAGTGAGTGTGTTGTGGCAACGACCATCAAATCAACCATTCCTTCCTTGGGACACTAATGAGAATGAATCCGTGTGCAGCTTGCAGGGCAATCGCATACGGGACCCAGAAGTGAAGAGGGTGATGGACCTGTTTTCCAAAATGGAAAAGCTGAAGAAAGTAGAGTGAGTAAAAATAGCTTAAACCTTGGCTACTGTGAAGATGTGGGGCATCAGCTTGAGTCCCTGCCCTCAGGGAAGCAGCTTATCCTACAGAAAAGGCAGAAAACAGTAATTTGTAATCCTCACTCCCTCACCCATCTCTGTCACACACACAGAGCGCTGCTCTCAGGCAGGATCCCTTGGAGCCTCTCAGGAATGGTGCCCTGTGGCCCTGAGAACAAGCAGAGGATTTGTAGAAGCAAGATCTTGTGTTCCATGTCTAATGAGGTCCAACAAGTAATGAAACAGAACAAACATGCAATTAAAGAATAAATCCTCAGAGGCTGGAGGATTGTGTTCAGGCCTCCCTGCTTTAATAAGCCATACTTAAATTGGATTTGTTGTAGTGGGAGTTAAACTGCACTGTGGATCAGTGGTGTAATCATGAAGGTATGAACTATCTCCACTAATTAACCCAAAACTGGTTAATGATCATTCTGATGCAGATAGAAAAGTTACCTCTGATTCTAAATACATGGGAGCTGTCTGTCATCTGATGATGCTTTTGTTCAGTCCTAGATGGAAATTTCAGAAGTTTTTGAGAAATACCCTAACTAAAAGATGGTGTGCTTCAGGATGTTTGGGGAGCAGAGAAGAGGGCATTTGTGTAACAAAAGAACATGCTGTGGGGTCCAGCAGCTGAGGTTCCATTTTTTCCTCATGTTCACAGCCTGAGCAACAACAGTCTTTCCTTGAATGCTGTTCTCAGTTTGGCAAAGGAAGGCATCGTGTGTCAAAATGTTACTGAGCTGTGTGCCAGGTATCAGTACATGAGAGCTCTCACAAAAGCAAGTAGGTTGTCTCTTTAGATGCTGACTTAAAATAGACACTGATTTTCAGCTTAACTGTTGGCTAATTGAAGTGAACAAGAATCAGTTTGACTCCTTTTTTCTTTTCTGCTGGAAACAAAATGTGAATTCATCATACCATGTATTTCCTCTTTGTATTTTTAATAGGTCATTTTATCCTTGGTATAACAGAATTTAAACTTGCTTTTAAGCTGTGCAATATATCAGAAAGGAAATTTTTTATCAACTAGCATAAATTTGCTATCAGTCAGCTAAGTTTAGTGAAAATGTGTGAATTTAGCTCTAGCTCTATGTTCCTTTAAATTACAGGTTTTGGGGTTTTCATGACAAAGGGTAGATTTTTTAAAATCATCCTGGCTCTTGTGGTTGTCTTATGTTCTAAGTTTAACAGGCCAAAGTAATCCCTGGTGTAACTCAAATTGCATATGGCTTTTTTCACATTTTTTCTTGCTGGAGGGGAGTTTCCACTGAATCTCTTTCCAACAAGCTTCTGGTCTTGCAAAAATAATAATAATAAAAAAAATAATCCTGGCCCAATCTTTTTTGCTGTGTGACTGTCTCATCTGCACTGCAGTCCCAGCTCAACACGTGGAGTGTCCTTTGCCTTCTGGGCATGTGGCTGCTGCTTGGCTGTGGCAATGAGCTGGTGAGAGAGATGCCACTGCCCTCTCTGGCATCCAGGCAACAGCTTTGGTCCTTACTAAACACCCTGCTAAATAAATGGCATCCTTCCACCTCTTCCCTAATATTGACCTGGATCTCTTTTTCAGGGGGGACACCATGATTATTTATTTTTCTGGCGCCCCTGGGGAAGCTGAAAGGTGAGATGCTGTGCTTGTGGTTGGGCTGTGTTGGCTTGTGCTGATTGAAGCCATCAGCTTGGGGTCACCCCAGACCACAGTGACAGAACTGCTGGCCACTGCCCTCACAGCTGGGTGTGCCTGAGCAGTGGGAAGTGTAACCAAAACAGCTGGCTTTGCACACACCTACAGCCAGATCCACAAAAGCAGCTCTTTAGTGCCTGGGTAAGCTTGAGGTGCCGTGTTTCTATTGCAAAAGTGCTGAAGGAACACAGAACCTTGTGCTTTCTGCTGGGAAATATTAACCAGGACCCAAGCTGTCAGATATTTCATGAAGGCATATTAAAAGCCAAATATTTTGCTTGTTTGCAGATCTTTGGATTTGAAGTTGGAAGAGAATAAAGAACCCATAATTCCAACTAGACATGTGAATTTATGGTAAGAGCAGACACTGAAAGTCCTGCTGGTGTGATTTGACAGGTACTATAGAAGGGCAAGAAAAGCACATGTGTTCATCCTTAAGGACAGAGGATATTTCCACTAGTGGGAAAGTTTGGAATAAACCTGAATCAGTAACTAAAAATGACAATAGAAATCCTAGCTGGGCCAGCCAGGGGCACCCCCATCCCCTCACTGCTCACCAAGCCTTTCCTGTTCTCAGCTTGCAGGACCACAGGTTGTCTTCCCAACATGCCAGGATGATTGTGGCCCTTCTCCAGAGCTGTCCCTGTCTCTCTGAAGTGGAGTGAGTGCCTCCTTTCCTTCCTGTTGGCTGTAGGCAGGTGGTGTGGGAGCAGGGGATCATAGGATCACAGACTGGTTTGGGTTGGAAAGGGCCTTAAAGATAATAGGTTTCCTTAAGCAAGATGGTTTGGGTCTAAAACCTGAATCTTGTTGCCCAAGAGCTAAAACTTTTTTGTCTGAAGTTGATTCATGCAGAAATAAGCAGGGAAGATTGATCTGAGACAGAAGAACAGTCCAGGCGAAAAAAGAAATTGTAGGAAAGGGAAAACAAGCAGGTTTTAAGGGCTTTGTTTTTACTGTTCAAATTAGTCCCCACTAACTGGAAAATGCTTCAGTTTATCAGGCAACATGCTTGGAGATGAAGGCTGCGGTTGTCTGGTGGAAAGCCTCCCCTGTATATCAATTTCAAAGCAGCTGAAGTAAGTGTTGCCTTGTACAAATCCAACCTGCCTCCTTCTGAAGGGAAGTGGTTTCAAGCAGGCAGAACACTGCTAGCTGCTTCACTAGGACAGTCCTGTGGGATTTCAGGGACCACCTAATTGCCTTTTTCTTTCTTAGTCTCAGTCAAAACTGCCTCTCTGTCACTGGCATTTGCAGCCTGTTGAAGTCAGTAAATACCTGCCAGAAGGTGATGGAGGTGCAGGTCAGGTATGTGGGTCTTGAGTCATTCCTGGGGTTAATACCAACACACAAGTCTGGGATTTTGTTGAGTCACCTCAGGAGTGTGGTGGGTGAAGAACATGTCCCAGGGTGGCTGCTAACACTGGCACCTGGTGACACGTTGCTGTAAGATGATTTTATCAGGGCCATCAACCAGAATTTGAGTGCTTGCAAAACTGGCTGTCCTTTAATGCATGGGGGAGTTTTAAAATGCTTCCCTGCTCTCTGCCTCGGGAAGTTTTGGGACAGGATCTCTGCCGAGTGTGAAAGAACTGGCGACACCTCCTGGAGCAGAACTGGAAATTCTTCTCTATGGCTTTCACTTAAAAACACGCTGGAGTTCAAGTATAGCGATTTTGTCTGTGCTTTGTCTAGTGATTCAGAGAAACTGCATCATCAGATAGTGCATCATTTGATCCAACCAGAATTTAAAACTGATGGAGATTATTTTTTCTTGCTTTGGGAGTGTTTTAAGCACAAGTGTTTGCTGTCACTAGAGCTTTGCAGAACAGAACCAAACAAGAAGTCCTGTAAATAACCAAACCACGACATTGATTGATTACTTCTCTTCTCCACAGCCTTTGTCATGATGCTGCAGTCCTGAGATTTAGAGAAGACAGGGAGTTTGCTTCCCTTCCTCCTAGGTAGGCTGTGTGTGCACAAGTGGTGTTATCTCAGCATCCTGTTTAGTGCTTGCATTCTGTGTAGGTACCAAGGGTAACACTTCACAGCAGTTCCTGCCTCCCACCCCAGCCCCCAAATCTAAATGTAGAACTGTCTGAAGTGGCTTTCTCAGCCACTTTAAAATTTGTCACTGCCTTCTGTGGTGTTCTGTGTCTCTAGAGCACATTTCTTCCCACAGCATCCTAAGCAGAGCAGGCTGTTTAATGACACCCATGCTGTCTGATAACAGTGAGGGTAAAAAAACAAGTGAATGCCACACCAAAATCTGAAAAGATTCACAGATCCCTGCAGTTCAGAACACTATTCATTCTGGATCACAGTACTCCTAAATCATGAGATGTTTGGAGTTTAATTTTTCCCCTCAACCCAAAAGTTTTGAAGCAAGAAGTGGTTTCCTGTTCTTCCTGGAACTTGAGGTTCACTATTTATACCCTTCTTCTCTGTGGCCTGAGCCCACTGTAAAATAGCATTTCCCATGGTACACACCTGCATTCCAGCTCTATGCCAGAAACAGCAGAGCTGTCATGGGGCACAGCCCAGTGCTTGAAAGAGAGTGACAGCCTGAGACACATGATCTGTGGACTCCTTTAAGGCACCAGGTGATATTTCAAACTCTGATATTTTAGGTTTTGCATATTCCATTTCGTTATGAATGATCTAGTTATAGTTTTACTGTTTATAGTTGTAGCTTTTACTTACAGTGTTGCACTTTACTTAGTCATAGATAGTTCCATTTAATCACGAATAGTCAGATTTTTGTACAAGCTCTTGATAAAACTTATTTAGCAAAAGCTAAATTCAGCAAAAGCTAACTTCTCCATCAAACTTAGATAGAAATGTCTCTTTCCCCTTCTCCCCAGTTGCCTGCATGCTCAAATATTTGGTTAGAAAAGGAGAGCTTGCAATTGGCAAGATACAGACGTGGGCTGGAGCCAGGGTAGCCCCAGGGATCTGCCAAATTGCCAAAGCAGAAGAGTTTTACCTTTGGTTTTGTGCTCACTTAGGGAAGAGCCTGTGTTGTCTACTGATGACCAACAACATGGGGAGGAAAACCAGACACCTACCACCTCCCAGAAAATAAGGTACCCTGGCCAGTTTTCATTGTATTACATGCAGGTCCTACCTCTGGCTCCTATTTCACCTGCATCTCTAAGAGGTGAATCACAAGAGAACTGGGAATCTCCCCAGTGCCAGCAGCTCGGGGTGCAGCTGCCAGGGGAGCTGCAGGCTCTGCCCTGGGTGGGGGGAATGGCTGGAGACCCTGGCAAGGGGCTGAGACCTGGTGCCCACCCTGTGCCTTACAAAGGACACAGGGACCTGCAGTGCCAGGCAGGGGTGGCCTGTCACCTGGAGACTCTGGGGGAGCTGGTAAGCAGTGAGGTGTTTCAGTGGGATTGTTTAATTTCAGTATTATCTCTTCATCAATTCTCTAGTTTTCAAAGGAGTGAAGTTTACAGCCTTGTTGGAAATCCTGCAGACCTGGATGATTGGTTTCTTTTTTCCCCCACAGACTGACAGACTGTGATTTTCAAGCCAGTGACCTGAAGAATTTGTGTGCAGTCCTGAAGGAATGTGGCCACATCTCTGAGCTGGAGTGAGTCCCCCTTAGCTCCCTCAGAGCTTACCTGCAGTTATTTGGGATGCTGAGAAAATGCCACTTGTTTGTTCTGCAGTGTTGTGTAGAGTGTGGTAGAGGCATAGCCTGCTGGAAGATGTGGGTGTGCATACAGATAATAGAGCTGATGGTGCCTATTGGGTTCTTTTACAGTGAAAATTAAATGCCTTTCTTTAAATCCTAGCCTATCACATAATTATCTGGGAGATGAGGGATTGTTGCAGCTGTTTCAGTGCCTCCCAAAACTGAAAATGTTGAGTTGTCTCAAGTGAGTATCTCCTGTTTTCTGCTTATGCATGGGTTGGGATTTGTGAAGTATTTTCTGTGGAAGCCCAGTGCACATCTGGGAAGGGCTCTTCACAGTCAGGTGCAGTAATATTCTGTGTTGGGCAGAGGCACTGTGCTGTCTGCTCTGTCCCCACCTCCAGACCAGAACAGATCGACTCCACTTGAAGCTTGACTGGGTTCAGAGCCCAGGAGCCTCTGTGCTCGCTGCTCCATGAAGGGGACAGGTGGTCTGATGTCAGGTGTGGCACCTGGTTTCTCAAACAGCCTGAGGCCTTTAGCAACACACTGGATTTTTCCTCTTCAAGCTCCTCACTGGGAGGAGGAGCAGTCCCTCCTCTCCTAAGGGGAACAGCTCTGAAGGAAGGGAAGTGCTGGGGACACCCATCTTCAGTGGTGGAGTCTGAATTCATCTGCTGTGGTGGCTTGTGTTCATCTGGGCATTTCACCTGGCACTCCCATTGTGAGTGCTCTGTACAGGACTGTGCCTTAGGGCACCATTCTGCACTACTGAAAGAAATATTTATTGTCCCTGTTTGATTAATTAAACTGTTCTCAAGCCAAGAGTGTTCCAGTTACAGACAATATCACTAGAACAGGTTTCCCTGAGAAACTGAATTCTCTGTCTTTGGAGGTGTTAAAAACCCAGCTGTACAATGTCCTGAGCAGTCTCCTCTGTGCTAACCCTCCTCTGAGCAGGAGAGTTTGACTAGATCAGCTCTAGGAGTCGACTCCAGCCTCGGTTATTCTGTGATTTTCTGAAAGTGAGGGATGAATTTAAAATAAGTGTGGGTGAGTTGTGTTTGTAGAGCTGTAGCTAGAAACACAGGCAGAAGGTAGCAAAGAAGCAGTCTGGGAGTGCTGCACAAGGATCACTGTTCTCTGGCATGGTGTTAATTTTTATCAGTTGTGCTTGCAGCAGCTGATTTCATCTTTACTTCCTGTAGGTTTAACAACAACCAGATCTCCCTGAACTCCGTGTTTTTCTTAGCTCAGTCATTAACTACGCTGGAACACATTAAAACAATGAGCCTCAGGTATGACCAGGAGTTCTTTTTGTATTCTTTTGCTATTTAAAACCTCAAGCTGTGGGATTTGAGGAGTGATACAGGAGCTTGTGTTAAAACCCATGCTGATGATGTTCTTTTCTGGTTACAGCTTAGGACTCACACAGGTGGTTCATCTGACCTTTTGGGAAAGAGTCAGGTAAAACCATATCCACTCATATAAGCCTTGAAAACTTCTTGTGAAGCTCTAAGCAGAAGGTGACGTGTGGGTCCCTGAGGTGTGTCAATTAAAGAGCCAAACTCCAGCCAGGGTGGGGGAAGCACAGTGAGCTGTCTCATGGCTGATGGATCAGCAGCAGGCTGAGGGCACAGAGCAGCCAGCAGCATCCAGCTGCTGAGACAGGCTGCAGGCATCGCCCTGCTGGGCCAGGACACAGCAGGTGCCCAAGGGCTGAGTGGGTGCAGAACCCTCTGGAGGCTGAAGAAGGGCTAGGAAGGCTCTTTTTTTTCTGGGGATGGGGTGAACCTCATTCTGGCAGATTGGAACATGAGGCCACTGCCACCGCCTCACCCCCTTCATGGGGAGTTGGGGCAAGAACATGATGTTCACAGGGCAAGAACATCAGCACAACTCATGGGCTAAGCTGTTCTTTCCCCAGAAGTACCAGCAGATGGAGAAGTGTTTCCCTGGCACATCCCAAGGAGGAAGCCCAAGGACGGTGCTTTCGGTATGGCAGCCCCGGGTTCCCTTTGTCAGCAGGACTGGAGGGAGGGTGATGGTGGGGTTTGTGTCTTTAGGGCAGTGTGGTGTGTGGGACAGACACATCCCTCCAGCTGTGTCTCCTCAGAGAGGAAAATAAATAGTGCACCTTTGGCTTGGTTTGAGGGGATTGTCTTGCTTTCCAGCAGAGGAGGCTTCTACCCATAAATAAGGAGAGAGAGATGTGTGTGACTCTGTTCATCCCATGGAGACCTGCCAGTTTGTCACCCAAAGTTTCTATGATCTCCTTCTTGGAGAAAGACGTAGGAGGCACCATTTCCAGCTCTCCTCTGGGAGAGCCAAGAGTGTGCTGGGCAGGGAAAGATGCTGTCCAGTCTCCTGAGACAACTGAGTGAATCACCAGTGATGTGCTTCTAGGGAGGCAACACCCAAAGTATTGGTATTTTGGTGCATTGGCTCTCTCAAATCAGCTCAGGGATGGTGGATTCATCTGCTTGTCACAGGTTTTGATTTCTTAGTCCTACACTGAGGGTAGCAAAATGTGTGTAGTGGAAGTGAGAGGGTCACTACAGGCCTTGTCCTGGGATGTGAGGCTCTGGGATATGCAGGGAATTCTGGCATCCTGTGGTTATATTCAGCTCCTGAGTGCTTTGCTTCAGTCTCAGGGACTGCAAATTGGGTCCAGAGGATGTGACCAGGCTGTGCCAGATACTGGCTCAATGTCCCCAGCTGACAGAAATCAAGTAAGTCTGTCTGTCTGTCTGTCTGTCTGTCTCCCCAACCCCAGACACAGATTTGATGTCCATCAGCTCTCCTCTCACCACATCCTCCCCAACTCCACACAGATGTTTGCCCAGATACTTAGTTTAACCCAGACTTTCAACTGTCCTGTTCAAAAGAGATCTTTGAAAGTTCTCTAAGTCTACCACAGCAGTGTGTAAAGGCCCCAGAACATGTGTGTGCTCTCATAATCTTCCTCAGTCCTGTGTCTAGAAACAATTGTTGTCATCTGTTCCTCGAGACCTTGGTTCCTAGTACAGCCAGAGCAAGAGCTCCTGGCCCACTGAGCCATGAGCTCTGCTCCTGAAGGCCTGGTCACTCCAGGCAGGAGTTTGCACCAAGAAAATTAGAAGAATACTGGTCAGAACAAAAACTGAGTAATAGCAAATAAAAATAATATTATACCCCTATTGCCTGCCTTAAAAATATCAGCAGCATAATTTTGTAAATGTACAGTAACAGAAAAGCAAGACTCTTGAAACTGTAATGTTAATTGGCTGGAGGATGTAAAGAAACACAGAGATCAGGCTGTAAGGACTAAATCTTGCCCAACTTTCATGGCATTTCTGGACATTTCCTTTTACAGAATTTGCCCATAACACTGTGTGTGTGTGCATGTCCATGTAAATGTTACAGAAATAATTAGGGGTTGAAACAATTTCTCCTGGGTTTTGTTTCCTTCCATGTTTTACAGTCTGTCTAGAAATTCATTGAGTGACCAGAGCATCAAGAGATTACTGAGTTTTCTGCCATCCCTCTGTCATCTGACACTACTGAGGTAATGTTTGGGGTCCCTGCTTTGACTGCTGCCATGGAACATGGTTTTGGAAAGTGGTAATACCACAGCAGGTCTTAGGAGCATTAATCAGTAATTGTAGACTAGCAAGCAACACAAAGAAAATGCAGAGATGCTTTCACACCCATTCCTTTCTTGTTTCTAGAAGCAAAGCAGCACTTCAATGATAGTTAGCAGGGGCCAAAAAAGGACAGGAGGAAAGCTGTCTGTCCTAGGCAAAGCAAACCACCTAATCCTCACTTAGCAGGTCCCATGGAACATGACTTCCAGCATCCATGACAAGTGTAGGGAATGTGGGTTGACACACAGTGACAAGGCACCACCCGTTCTCGTGCTCAGCTGGTTCTGACATCTGGCCACCCCTGACACCACAAGTGTGTTCTGGCAGCAGATCAGCCCTTCAGGCTGGAATTCAGGCCAGAGAAGCTCTGTCAGGGGCTAGGGCACTGCACTGTGTGGACAAAAAGCCCAGAGGGAGCTTGGCCATCTTTCACAAGATGTTGTAGCATGGAAGAGCTGCAGGGTCTCCTGAGACTGAGTTTGCCCAGTCAGGAGGTTGTTTCCAGTCTGGGATATCTCTAGTCCAGTAGCCCCAAACAGGAGCTGTTCAGTGTAAGCCCTTGGTCTGTACTCCCTTTCTAGTCAAAGGGGACTGAAGGAGACCCTCCTTTAAGGAAAGGAACGCTGGGTGCCAATGCTCAAAACTTTGGGTCCTTGCTCCCTCATCCTGAGTTATCCAATGTTATTATTGGGTAATATATGTTATATATTATATATATATAACATATATATATATATATATAAAATTATTATTGGGATGTATCCAGTCTTTTTTTTCCAAATGAACAGTGGGAAAATTGAGCTGTGTGTATGGGACCCTTTCTTCCTAGGAGCTGATTTCAGTGTTTCTTCTTTCCTCTCCCTTACAGTATTAGGACAGACTCCTTGTCCCCACATTGTGCTGCTTTACTCCTCAACTCCATCAATGTCTGTGAGCGGGTCAGAGTGGTGGAAGTCTGGTAAGACACTCAGCCTGCTTGGAGCCCAGCAGCTCAGCCCTGAAGGGACTACAAAGCCTGTCATCTTTGGAGAGCATTGCTGAAGGACTGTCTTTTGTGTCTGCTTCAGGTCAAGTGAAAATGCCTTCTTGCATTTAGGAGCAAGCATGCGAAGCCAAAAGACATCCTGCAGGTGCTGGCATGGAACAGTTACTGTAATTCACTTGTGGGTGGGTTTGAAGCACTAGTGCAGGGACCCAGACTTCCTCTTGTATTGAGAATTCATGGGCTGGTGACCAAGGAGCTTGGGCTAGTAGCTTAAGCTCTAGGGCTCAATTCATCTGCTTAAGTGCAACATTTGGATGCATCTGGATGGAAGGGGCCTGTGCTTTTCTTTTTCTCTTTTTTTCTGGGCCTCTTATGGTCACCTTGAGTTACACCAAATTCTGCTGCATGAGCAGAATCGAGCCCTCATCACTGCATTTTCCAAATGTGTGCCTCACATTCTGGATGATAATCTCCACATGGATACCTGTGTGATGTGATGTGATGGCTCCTGAGCGCCCCTGGACAGGAGACTGTAACGAGTCTCTGTTCCAGCACCAAGGAGATGGCAAAAAATGTGAATTCTGCAGAGAGACTGGTGTGAAGGTGTCGCTGCACAGTTCTCAGTGCTCAGGCTGGGCTGGTGGCTGGCCATGCTTTAACTCTCTTGCTGTCTCACACAGGCTGACAGGCTGTGCCCTCGGGCAGGGGCAGGTGGAGGAGCTCTGCAGCATCCTGGAGCAGCACGGGTGGCTGGCAGAAGTCGAGTAAGTGGGGTTTGGGGTGTCACCATGATCTCGAGCAGAGTCACTGAGGAAAAGCTGTGTTGGTGTGGTTCAGCACTGCCTGGAGTTTCCCAGCCGTCCAAGGGTATGTGTGCTCATCCAGACTGCTGAGAAACACAATCAACTGGAAATAATACAGGTCCTGTTGAGCTGATGGGACAACTTCTTTGGGATTTTCACTCCATTACTGCTTCCAGGCATTTATTGCTTCACCTGAGCTCTTCACATGAGCTTGGTCTGGAGCTTATGCATGAGGTAACTTCATAAGGTAGTGATTTGTTTCAAACAGACCTTTACTGGCAAGGATTTAAGTCCAGAAAAGTTGAATTTTTTTCTTCAAAGCTTCTCAGAGGACCGTTGCTGTTTAAAATAATTATATAGAATTACAGAATACTTTTTTTTTTTCAGAAAGGATCTTTAAAGGCCATCTAGTCTAACTCCCTGTCATGAGCAGGGACATCTTCAACTAGATCAGATTTCTTAGAACCCTGTCCAACCTGGCCTTGAATATTTCCAGGGATGGAGAAATCCCCACCTCTCTGGACAACCTGTTCCAAAGGCTGAGTTTTGTTTGGCCACATTGTTCTTCTGCCTTTCAGTCTCTCTAGGAATCAGCTGGGAGATGAAGGCCTGAGGTGCCTCTTGGACTACTTGCACCGAGTGCCCAGTAGCTGTTTCCTCAAGTAAGAGAACACACAGGGAATCTGAGGTGCCCCAGCAGAAGGGTGAAGCTGGTGTGATCCTTCATGAAGCTGCTGCTTGTGCTTCTTGCCCTGTCCTGCTTTAGAAGAAAAGCTCTGACAGAACCATGAGCACAAGTCAAGACCACCAGGCTGTGGTGACTCAGGGTCTGATCCAAAACCTGCTGAAAATAAGCAAAAGTCTTTTTATTAGTATCAGCAGGAAACAGCAATGACCGGAGTGGGGTGGTGTGACAGAAGTTGACCCCAGAGTTTTCAGTTCATCACTCTTCTGCGTGTGGTGCCTCCTCTGAGCAGCTCAGACCCTCAGGTGCTGTGAGCTGAGCTATGCCCTACACCAGCCTGTCCCCTTCCCTTTCTGGTGGGGCAGTAAATGTTCCAGCTGCCTCTGTAGTGCAAGAGGAAAATTGCTTTTGCTGTGTCCCCCAAGTCACTAGCACTGTCTTGGGGGGGGTTCAGTGCCTGAGGAAAGCTGAAGGGGCCCAGCACCCCACAAGCTGCTCTGTCTTTGGTGCCAGCTTGAGTTTTGCTTCTGTGGCTGAGGAGCCTGGGACAGCCCTGACATGTGAAAATCCTTCCTTCTCTTCTGTGCAGTCTCAGCCATAATGGGATTTCTCAGGATGGAGTCCTGCATCTTGTAAATGCCTTTGTCACATCCAGAAACACCACTGAAGTTCAAGTCAGGTGACTGTTTTTCTTCATTAATTTCTGAGTCTTCCCTGCTTGTTTTCCTCTTAATTAGTGAAAGTTTGTGATCTTCAGGTAATAATGATGAGGACCACATTTTCAACTACCTTTATGTCCAACTACCTAAAGCTTTGGTTTATGTCCATTTTGAATAGCCAAGCAAAACTGCCAAGCAGAACTACCATTCCCAGGGCCAGGTTATTTTTGTGTAGAGACCCAGAGATTCAGCTGTACCAATTATTGCCATGTATGTATCTGTTAATGAACCTCTTCAGAGCAGGAGCCAGCATTTACTCTCTAAGGTTCTCTTCAGTATGCTGACTTTTCAGAGGCAAGAGAAAGCAATTTCCCATGTTCTTTTACTTGCATTTGCATCTTTATCTCCTTTCCTCTCAGGCAAAATTATCCCCTGGGTTCTGGGCGTGTTGCTCTGGCACAAAGTGCTTTGCTCACAGATTCCTGCCATGAGACTGGGCTGTGCTGCACATCAGTGTTTATGTTCATGGGACCAGGTGGTCTGTCCTGAACCAGTTTTATCCAGGGGCATTTCCATTCATTCCTGCAGTTAGATGTGGCTGCTGAATCTTTGGGCTACCTTAAACTCCCCTGTTGTGCCTCTCCCCAGAGCTCAACAGAGAGTGCAGAGGAGGCAGATAAAAGCAGGACAGGTCAGGATTGCTTCTCCAAACACCAGTGCTGCCTTTATGCCAATTTAGCATTATGAGACCTTACTGAAACATTTCCCTGGGCTGGTTTATTTTAGGGAGGGGTGAGCTGGGCCAGGTACCTCTGTCATTGCTGTGCTGGATTATTTTCTGGTTTGGTATCATTAAATTCTGACCACTGGGAAAAGTAGTAATTATCCATTTAAATCTTATGCTCATGTCTTCTCTGTGCAGTTTGTGCTCAAAAGCAACTTTAATCATCAAGCTGACAAGTGGAGATGACCCAAGAAAGGGTCAAGAAAAGGTTTTGAGGTAATGTTACAGACTTTTTGTGGTGATTTCCTTGGTAAAGGTGGTGTCTTTTTTTGAGGGACAAAGCAGACAAAACCTCTTTTTGCCCCTAGCTCTTGGCATGGTGATATTTTACAGTAACAGCTGATACATTTCCTTTGACTCACCTTCTGAGAAGGACTTTCTCACATCATAGAGAATCCCTCATCCCTTTTTGTCTTTGCTTCCCCACTGTTTGTTCCTCACCTGGGCACCCATAGGAGTTCCTACAGCTCCTGTCACAGGACAGGGTCCTACAAAAAGCAGTGCCATTATAGCACACAGGTATGTTCTACCAGAACATCTCAACAGATGCTTTTGGAATGTTGCCAAGATCTTTTTTTGGAAACTCTTAAAGGTGTTTAAGGTTTTTGTGCCATCCTTCCTTGTCTGTGGGGTTAGGCTGTGCTGCCTGATATTTCCAGCTCAGAAAGCCTGAATTGTTTGTGATGAACTAAGGCTGTTCTCTTTCTTATCTTTTCAGACTGGCAGAGTGCAACTTTCAGCCAGAGCACTTGGAAAGGTTGTTCTTGCTCCTGGAAAAGTGCACTTACCTGACGGAGTACAAGTGAGTTAATGGCTCTTGGACCCTTTTGGGTGGGTTCATTTCTGAGTTGTTCATCACAGCCAGCTTTGGTTCTAGGTCCTCAAATAACAACATGACAGTCCAAGCTGCAGAAAGACTTTTGCATTCCCTGAGGAAAGATCTGGGGCTGCTGAAAATCAGGTATTGTGTCATTGTGCTTTTTTAGCTACTGGTTTGAGACTGGTCTGATCTTCTAAGAGCTCCTTTCATCAAAACCAAAAATGAACTTCCCAAGGCAGGTACCGTTGGCCTGAGGCATTCCCATGGCTGACTCTGTTATTGGTATTTGGCTTTATCTCCTTGGTTCCCACTGAGCCCCGAGTAGAGCTCTGGCCATGGGCTGTGCTGGCTCTGCAGACCACTGCCAGCCCCACAAAGGGTGACAGTTCTGCTGGACACATTCCCACTGCCAGAGCATCCTGCACTTTGCCTGGGTAGCCAATTCTCCCCTCCTCTGCAGGGAAGCTGGTTTATCTCTGCCTGTTCCCAGTTTGCCCCCTGTTTCCCATGCAGACATTACTCTGCTAAGCCAAGCAGCCTTTCCACGTGTTTAGGGTGTGGAACTCTCAGCTGGCAGAGGCAGAGATGGATCCATGTGTGTGAATAAAGCAGAGCTGCCTGCATTCTGCTTTGCAGCATAGAAGAGCCATGGGTGTGCCAAGAGAGAGTCATGAACCTTCTGGAGCTGGCTGTCCAGACCTCTGGAAATGTTACTGAGATCACGTAAGTGGCACCTCAGGTTCTGGTGTCTTTCAGATATATTTTTTTTTAAGCCTGATACTCTTAAGGAAACGAGACTGAAGCCAGCACTGGTTCTTCTGTTGTTTATTCACTGTCTCCAGTGCATTTGTGATCTCTTTGCCCACTTAAACCTATTTTAACCCAAATGGCTGGTGGGTAGAAGTGATTAGAAGGCTTGTGGCTGCACAACTCAGAAGGTTTAATGGGAAGGAGACCGTGTTCCTGGTTGCCCTTGGGAGAAAGGTTGCCAAGTTTAGGCTGATTTTGGAGCTAGTTTAAACATTACAATTCTCTTCAGAGGTGGGTGATGAGCTTTCATGTGCCAGCATCACCCTGTCCCATTCAGCCCTCCTGATTTTCCCTATAGAAAATATTTTCTTCCTTCAGGAGTTCACAGGTTTATGTTGTTCTCCAATCTCTACCTTTTCAGGATATGTAAAGATAAATCCCTCTTCCAATTAGTCATAAGATTCCCAAGCTGCCTGGAGAAGACAGAATCAGTCATTAGCAGGTAAGAAAGCAACTATTTATCATTATTTTCTGCTTGCTCTGAATTTCACTGTGGGATGAAAAATATCTTCAGAGGTTCAGTCTCAGAGTGCCTCTGTGCCACACATGTGGAAGAAACCTTATGCATGTGCAGGTGGCCTTTGGGCTGCTCTCCTTCAGGCCCATGCTGGACCTAAAAAAGGAAAAAAAAAATCCATCTACCTTCCTGTGAGCAAATGGGGAACAGGAGCACTTTGAAGACTCTTAAGACATGCTGGCTTCTGCATGAGCATGCAGAGAGAGCAGCATCAGTGTCCTTTTCCTTTTGTGCAGCTGAAGGAAGAGGCAGCTCTTGTCCTGGGCAGTGGGGATGGGCTGTGTTTCTCTACACTGGACTGTGACATAAATGGGACGTGGCAGGAAAGCCCCAGGTGGGCTCTTGAAAGCCCTGATCTGTCTCTAATCGTGTCCCTGGGGGGCACCAGATGCTGCACTGGGCTCTGCTGATCCTCACTGACTGTGTTTGTGTCCTGCAGACTGAGTCTGTACAAGCCAGAAATCAAGCACTCCTTCTGCCAAAGGCTTCGTGAAAAATGTGCTCAGCTTCAGGAGCTGAGGTGAGTTGCCAGCCGGTGTAAAGGATCCTTAGGGAGGGGAGCAGCTTGTCCTGGTGAGTGCAGCACTCTAAACACACAGTAGGGCACAAGAGAGGCCAGTGCAAGGTCCCTGTTCCTGCCCTTTGGGTCCCCTACATCCTACTTGAATGGAAAATAGGAAAGACACACAGACCTGGTGGCTCCCTGGAGTAGCCTTTGAAATCACCTAAATCTCCCAGTGCCCAGATAAGCTGTACTCACTCACCGTGGCTGGGAGCTCCCATGGGACCTGGCCAGGTGTCAGTGTTGTGTCGCTCCTTCCATGTCCCAGCACTGCTGGGTCTCAGCTGTGGGCTTGGCACAGACCTTTTGCCACCCCTGGACAAAGCCCAGACCTGTTGTTCCCTCCTTGCAGATGGTCTCACGTGGAACTCCACGAGGATGAAGCAGAAATGCTAGTCAGGATTTTGCTACCCCTTCCAGAGCTGAAGACATTTGGGTATGTCTACAGCTGTGACCTTTTCCACATATTTATTATTTGCTCAGTCCTGTGCCTCAGGCCAGTCCTCTTAGTCCTGCACAAAAGGGGTGTGGAAATCTCTCCAAACTTACTGGTGCCTGATGTCTGTGCTGTCTGGGATTTGGGATGGGGCAGTTTGCCTGTCAGTGGAGTAAACTCCTCTTTCTCAGTGTGCTGAGACCTAATCTTCTCCTGTGATCCTTGCTGTTTTGCAGGCTGACCTCTAGCAGTGTTGCAGCAACTGGAATCAATTATTTGATCTCAGGCTTGCAGAATTGCCAGGCCATTGAAGAACTCAAGTGAGTGTGTTGTTACCAGGCTGTCCAGAGGCTGCCAGGTCTTTCTAGAAGCTTTAGTTAAACTGCAGCCTCTCTTCTGCATGTACTGTGGACAGATCTACTTTTCCTGGCTTCCAATAGGGAAGGAGCAACAATTCTTTTTTATTCACAATGTACAGTGAGTGAGAGAGACAGAGATCAGTAGTCTGTGGCAAGGAATTCCAGTGGAGAATCAACTGTTTTGGTAGTGTTTTTTTGCAAGGCTCTTGTCTTGTGGTCACAGTGGCACCTTGCTGCATGAGGGGCTGGGCTCTAGCTCCAGAGCTTTGGTATTCTGTCAGTGTTTTATCAGAATCCAGACAGTTCCATTAGAATTGCATTAGAGAACAAAACTCAAATTATTCACAGGGACTAGAATACGCTCCCCCATCTCTCCCACTCTTGTTCTGCTCCCCTCTGTGCTGAGTGCTCGCACGACTGTCCCTGGGCAGTTAATTGTACCTTTGTTATTTCATCTTTCAGCCTGGGCTACATGGAGCTCAGCAGTGCTGCTGTCCCTGAGCTTGTGCTGGGGCTCTGTGGGATGCCATCCCTGAAAAGGCTGATGTAAGTATGTGACTGCAGCTCGCCTCTAGCCTGGCTTGGGATGCTGAGTAGCAGGAGCTCAGCTTAATGTCCATTTTCCTGGGGATGCTGTTTCCAGCTTGAACCACAACAGTATTGGGAATGACGGCTGCTCCAGACTCGCAGAAGCCTTGAGGAAAATGCACAACATGGAGGAAATCAAGTAAGTGTCTCCTTTCTTGCAGAGAGGTGACCACGAGTGCCAGCATTTGGAGAGAGCCAGATGTGCTTATGCACAGTATTGTAACAAAAGCAGGGAGGCTGCAAAATGCTCATGCATGAGGTGCATTGGACTAGAGGAAATCAGAACTTGATGTTCAGAAACCTTGGTCTTACCCCACTCTGTGGCAATCATGTAGAAAATTATCTTCCCTGGGATCCAGGATAAGACTAGAGACTCCCTTCTGTCCTGGGAGAGCCTCAGATCCAGCATTTGCCAGGTCTGAAAAGATCTGTATCTGGAGCCAATCCCAGGCTTGCTCTGTTTTCTCCCCCTCTCTCTTACCAGATGCTGTCCAGTCTCCACTGTAGCAATTTGGAAAATAATAACAACCTGTCTTCATCCTGTCTTGGTATTCTGGCTGAAGCAATTTCCCACCTGTCAACAGGATCCAGTGATTTTAATTGTTCTTTGCAATTTTTTAAATTCCTCATTAACACCTATTAATTTTTTGTGAGATAGTTGAGACAAGCAGCTCTTTGATTCTGCTGGCAAGGCCTGAGGAGTCATCCAGCAAATGGGACACATTAAGTAAGATCTTGTACTTTGCCAGCCATTTTCCTTTACAACACAACCTTCCACCTCTTCTTTAAAGTTTAAGCCACAACAAGATTGGAGATCCAGGCCTGATAAATCTTGCTGCTGTCCTGCTGGAAATGCAAAACCTGAAGAAAATCAAGTGAGTCCCTTTGTCTTGGTTCAGCTATTTTGGTCATGGCCATGGTTGGTGGGGATGCCTGTGTGGGAATCCCAGTGCAAGGCTGAGACATGGATTCAAACTGTCCCTTCTCCCAGGGAACAGAAGTTAGAGCATCCAGGCTCTTTGTCAGGCTCAGCTCTTGGGGTAAGCCTTGCAACCTTTTGAAATAAAAACCCTGGAAATGGAGCAAGAAAAGGAAGTTCCCAGTTCTGTCTGTGAGAGGGAAAACTGCTCCTTCCCCAAATGAAGGCTCATTTTTCTGTACCTGCAGGGCCAGGAGTTACTCAGCACTTGACGAAAGAACCCAAAAATCCCCAGATCATTCCCCAGACACCCAAGTCTCCCATCACAGCAGGCAAAGAGTGAAATATCTTAGGATGGTACATTCTGGTTCTCATGTAGTCAGAGAGTCTTGTTTATTTTAGCCTTTCAGGGAACTGTCCTAGTCCTGCTGGAGGGGAAAAGCTGATGGAAGCTCTTGCCCATTGCAGGCACATCAAGGAGTTACTGTAAGTGTCATTTTGAATGTCCTTTTGAGAAGCTGGGCAGAAATCAAGGCATAGAAATCTGATCCAGCCCCAATAAAGCCACTGATTCTTGTGAGAGCAGGGTAAAAACTCTGCTACACACCACAGAAATGTGTGGTGCTGCTGGTGTGGAAGGTCTGGGGATTGGTTGTTGGATTGTCTTGAAGATTTCCAAGAGCTGTGCAGTCTGCATTAGTGGACTAATGGATTCAAGAGCTGAATCTGCAGGTTTATAGGCAGTGTCTCAAGCACAGGAGCTGCTCAGAGCCTGTGCTGCCCAAGAATTCACCATTAATCTATGTGGCTGCAGAAATGGAGGGAAGTGGACTGTTAAAGGCTTTACACAGTCAGATCTATTGATGTACTATTTCAGACAAGTTTAAAGAACATATGTGCCTTGCCATATTAAATAAATAAAATTATAAAATAACGAATAAGGAAAAGTTACAGTTAAACTACTGGAACTGCCCTTGTAACCTTCAGATTATGGGCACACATGAAAAAGTGCAATTTCAGTTCCAGCTCAGGTAACTCAGTCAGGAAGGAAGACAAGTGTGCTTCTGGGAAGTGCAGCTCACTTTTACTTCCCTGTTAAACTTCTGCTGCAGGATTTCAAAACCTCATTGTTTCTTCCTCCCACCCTCAGAGTCCTTTGAATCAGGCACATTAGGTCCTTTCAGCACAGTCCCAGACACATGTGGGTGAGGAATGGGGGTCACACATCCACGTGGGTGACACACAGGTGAGGAATGAGGCTCTGGGCTTCACTGCCAGTAACATTTCATTTCTGCTTCTTCCAGACTATCGAGGAATGGTTTTGGAGACAGGACAGCAGTGACTCTTGCCCTCTGTCTGCCTCGCATGACCAACCTGAAGATCCTGCAGTAAGTGTCAGCCTCTGCCCCAGGAAGGCTGGATATCCTGGGGAATATAGGGGTTGTTGAAAGGAGTGGGAAAAGGCATGGGCACTGGTTGTTTAGAGAGTAATTTCAGTGTCCCAGGATTGAGAAACCCTCCACTCTGCTGTAAGAGTCACATAAACCCTTCTTGCTTAATCCCCTGCAGCATTAGCTATAGAGAGGTACCAGGAAGGGAGTATACAGTAAAATAAGCCTTAAAATTGCTTTTCAGTACCTTGGTTTTTGATGCCTCTGGTGGAATGCAAGCATAAAAATAAGCATCTTTTATGGACCCTCACTTTTTTGTGCAGGCACCTCTGAGTCATTTATTTTCCCTGAAATCAGTGTTACTATGTTTTCAAAACTTTTGTGGGAGTCCTTCCAGGACTCTAACATGTAGGACTTTCTTATACTGTTTTATAGTAACAAAACAAGAAATTGGTGAGCTAGAGAAGTGCTCCTTGGGCTCAGTTAGCCTAGAGGCATCTCTTCCAGCCTGTATCTAAGATGTCATCAAATGATAACTTTGAAAAGGAATCCCAGTGGTAGGAGACCCCCCTGGTTAGGTTCTTGCCAAGGTAAATATGAGCTTTTTATACAGCTTTAGTCCAAAATAATCCTCTGATGCTTATATTTCCTTGGTTAGCTTCCAGAACAATAACATTGGGCAGGCAGGAGGGCTGGAGCTGGCCAGAGCCCTGGTGGTGTGTGAGCTGCTGGAAGAGATCAGGTAGGTCATGGCAGGTGCACTTGGGATGGTGCCAAACATATCACAGGCTGGTTTGGGTCAGAAGGGACCTCTGATGATCACCTCATTCCAATCCCCTGCCGTGCACAGGGACATTTTCTCCTCGACCAGCTTTCTCCAATCCCTGTCCAGCCTGGCCTTGGACAATTCCAGGGATGGGATATCTACAGCTTCTCTGTGAAACCTGTGCCAGGACCTCACCACCCTCACTGGGAAGAATTTCTGCTTCCTAAAATCCAGTTTAATCCTGCCCTCTGTCAGCTTGAAGCTACTATTCCCCTTTCTCTCACCATGCCCTTGTCCAAAGTCTCTCTCCAGCTCCCTTGTAGCCCCTTTAGGTTTGGAAGGTTTTCTTCCCACTCTCCCTCACTGTCATTTCCTCTCAAGTCACACCAGTCATTAACTCCAGCATAACCTTTTATTTCCAGTTTCACATGCAACACATGATGTGCTGCACACCTGACCTTCTTTGACACAGGTGTAACCCCATGTTTCTGTCTGCAAGCAATTCCCTGCTGCAAGGACTGAGGTTGGGAGTTACAGCAGGGCTGGCACTCCCATTGTACCAAGCAGTGAATTGACTTAAAATTGCTGTGCACCAATCTGGCTCATCCATGCTGTCCACATGGTCCTCACTTAGTCTGGGTAGTACTTATTTACTTGCTACTTCACATGATCACGTTTTCATGGTGGCTTTTCTCTGACTGTACCTGCTTTTTCTGCACCACTCAAAGCTTTTCCATCACTCTTACAGTTTATCAGAAAACAGCCTTGGGGAACAGAGTATCCATGCCCTGTCCAAGGGGCTGCCATGCTTCCGACACCTCCGGAGGATGGAGTGAGTACCGGGGCATCGGGGCTGCCAGGGCAGAGCACGGCTCTGTGCTCCCCACAGCTCTGACACCAGCACACCATGGCCTCTGTTTGCTCTCTCCCTGCTGCCTCAGCTTGAAATTCTGTGGAATCACTGACCGTGCTTCAAAATCCCTCTGTCTCGGCTTCCGACAGTGCCCTTCCATGGAGGAGATCATGTGAGTGTGGGGGTGGATGGGGAGACTCTTCAGCACACACAGGTCACTCTCATTTTAATGTCTGCTCCTATTTGGAAATGCAGGGCATTTCTGACCCTGCTGGATACTTGTTAATACTTTCTACCAAGTACTTTCCAGTGGTAAATATACCAGTAATTCACTAATTGGTAAAATAAACTGCTAAAAATTTTTACTGGGGTAAAGCTGTGTGCTCAGCAGTCATTTCCATCTTTCACATCTCATTCCCTGGGCCTGCAGGACTCTGAGATAACCACAGCCCTCAGACACTCCCTGGTGTCTTATCATACATGGAAATAAGTGATGAAATGGAGGAAAAACCTCAAGCCTGTAATCCAGGGAATGTTTACCTGCCATGATAAGAGGGTGATTAGCTCTTGCAGAAAGGCTAATCCACGAGGGGTAGTGTCACAGCAGTGGCACTAGTGTTTATCCAGACTCACAACTGGGATTTCTTGTCTGCTGCCTTAGACTGTCTTGGAATGCCCTTGGAGATGGAGGAGCCCAAGAGCTGGCCATTGCTCTCCCAAAGATGGAAAAGCTGAAGGTGTTAGAGTGAGTACAGCCCTGAGAAAAACCCTGGGAAGGCTCATTTTTCTATCATTGAACCTTCAATCACGGGACTTCCAAAAAGGGGATGTACATTAGGAGCAACCTTCTGCAGTTTTATTCTTGCTTAGGCTGCTCCAAGCACCAAGGGCCAGCCTTGCCTGGCCTATACACATGAAATAGCACTAATTTTATTTAAGGTGATTACAGCACGGGACTAACCTGTTGTTTTCCACACCGGATTTGTTTTGGATTTCAAAATTCTCTTTTGGTTTTTAAAACAGCCTGGAGAAAAATCGTGTTGGAGCCTGTGGGGCCACAAAGCTCGCGGAGGAACTTGCCAAGTGCCCAGAAATTCAGTTCCTAAGGTGAGCAGGAATCACAGAGCTCTGTGGCTGAGTCTTGGCTCAGCAAGGAGAAGTCAGTGTGCCGAGTCTGGGGACAGATGTGACCCATGCCCCTGCTGCCCTGGGTTAGCTGGCAGGGAATAGGATATTGCAGGGAATGCAGACACAAGTAAGCTGAGGGTTTTCTAGGACAGCTTCACCTCCTCAAAAAGTCCAGGGAAAAGTGGAAGTGAAAAGCTTGCTGGCTTTAAATGAGGCAAAAATGAAGACCCAGTTGTGTAATGTTCCCGTCAGGAAGTTGTTGCATTTGTTCTTAAAAGTTTTCTTTCTCTCATTCCTCCTGGTTTCACTTCTGATGTACATTCATGCCCTGTCCCACTCCCTCCTGGGATCCATGTCTTCCAGATACTGGATCCATGTCTTCCAGTTACTTGGGCACCATTCTTGGTCCTGCAGTAACACATTTGCTGTCCTTGCAGGCTGTGGGACAACCCAGTGCCCAAGGGCCTTGCTGAGAGGTTGACAAGCCAAGACCCAAGACTGTGTTTCTCCTTCAGCTAGAAAAGATCCTTTGCCTAACTAGGAGCTGCTCTCCATTTCCCACTGCCCTCAAAACTGCACTGGAGAACCCAGGAACTCAAAGTTCCTACAACTGAATACTGTAACTATTGGGTCTTTCTTTGCTACATCGAACAAAGTGTGGACACTGACATTATTTTTGTTTGGTTTGGTTTTTTTTTGTTTGGTTTGTTTTTGTTAAAGTTTTTTTGTTTGTTTTGTTTCTTGTGACCTTTTACTGTACAGAAGAGAAAAATACTTTTAAAAGTTATTTTACTTATAGAGCTGCTGCTGAGCAGACACTACAGTCTTCTTGGTGTAAAAACACTGAAACTCTCTTTAAGAGAATAACTTTCCAGAAAGTTGTTAGCAAATAGTGCTAAGAATGCTTATGTACTAGACATTGTTTATTTATGAATTTCCCTACAATGGAAGGTACACCATCACCTCCATCCAAACTTAACTGTGTTGAAAGGTAAATACTTAGTCTTTATTTTGAGGAAGGGCAGTGGGTGACAGAAAGAATAGATGCCATAATTAAGTTCTCACACACAGTCACAAAAAACAGATATAAGGTTTTCTCAGAACTGTGAGATTTTGGAGTCACCATCCCTGGAAGTGTCCAGAAAATGTGTGGATTTGGCACTTGGAGACATGGTTTAGAGATGAACATGTTGATTCTGGGTTAAGGGTTTGGCTCAATGATCTTAGATGTCTTTTACAACCTTCACCATTCTATGATTGCATTATTCTAGGATGAGATGCATTTTCTCAGGCATTCAGAAAGCCAGCAGAGTATTTCATTATCCTTAATCAAGATTGCAACACCTACAGGGTGTTGCAGTAAAAAAATACACATCCTCCAGGAGAAAATGTAAAATTATTTACAAAGTTGTAAATTGTTGACATTCTTACAGATGAACTCCAACAGGCTGCTTGAAAATCATCTGCAACTGTGTGAAATTCCTCTATGATTTTTAGGAAAAAAAAAAATAGTCACAGAAGGAGTTGGAAGGGATCATAAAGACCTAGGTCCAACACCCCTGCCATGGGCAGGGACACTTTACACTAGTCCAGGTTTCTCAAAGCCAGGTGGCCTTGAACACTTCCAGGGATGGGGCAGCCACAGCTTTTCTTGGGAGAAGGAAAAAAAGGTAAGAAAAAAAGGAATATTTGGGTTTGTTTTCTCCATATCAGCCTCCTTTCCATGCAGAATTGCCTCTGTTTTGTGAAAAAAAACTTCAGGGCATTTGAAATTTCAGGTCATTGCCAAAAAAAAATTATCAATGTTTATACTGTGATAAAAAGGAAACACTTGATATTACCATAAATTTCATTGAGAAACATTAAAGGACTGAGGCTGTAAAACAACTTGTAATAAAACCAACTGCTCTGTGCTGACAGGAACGTGCTGCTACTGATTGTTTTCATGTGGGGTTTTGTACAGCTTTGTGGGATTTCAGACTGGTTGCACTAACCTCTTTCAGGAGAAGGGAGGGGTCAATTAGCTTGAAATGTCCACGTCTCTGCTGTCCCCTGAACCCCAAACCTGTGTGGATGTTGGACCTGTGGGAAGCACAGGGAGAAGATCCCAAACACCAAGCGTGCTGTTCCTTAGAGGAGACAGATGACAACTGCCCTTGGACTTGTGGAATTCTGGCTTGTGCAGCCACAAGGTTCTCATCTATTACCTGGTGTTACAATGTTTTCCTTACATGTTTATGCTGTAAATATTTGAGTCTTGTGGTGGGTTTATTTATGGAATTTTGTTTGCAGCAGTGTTTGCCTGGGAAGACGTAACTGATCTGATTTGGGCAGGGCAGACATCTGGAACGAGATAGAATTGCTGGTCCAGCAAATCTTTGGGCAAGTGGCTGTGAACAGGTGGTGCTGGTTATTCCTGGGGGAGCCACTGTCCCTATTTAAAGATCAGCATCATGCTTTGTGACATAATGACGTGCTGGTGTAAAAGTGGGACAGGTTTTGCAGAGACTGTTCTGAAAGGGGTTTAAAAACGAAAACAAAGGGAAAAAGAGGTGGTGAAATTCCTCATCAGGCTAAAATTTAATGGAGTAAGCAAGTACCTCGGATCTAAACACTGCCACTCATGAAAAGCTTCACCAAATGTGGTGAGCTGATATGAGGAAGAAATTCTTCCTGGTGAGGTTGCCCAGAGAAGCTGTGGCTGCCCCATCCCTGGAAGTGTCCAAGGCCAGGTTGGACAGGGCTTGGTGCAGCCTGGGATAGTGGAAGGTGTCCCTGCCCATGGCAGGGGGTTGGAACAAGATGATTTTTCAGCTCTCCTCCCACCCAAACTGTTCTATGATGAGATCTGAGGTTCCTCCTCTGATGCCTGAAGTCAGGAAGTGTCCATCTGTGCTGTGAGGTCTGCAGTGGTGTAAGACATCATGGGAATACTCTTGCAGCACTGCTCTTGTCTTGAGATGTTAAAAGAGGGATTCTGGAATCTAACTGCACACCTGCATTTCTCAGGGTCTCCCCCAAATGCAGGACTCCAGTTTGACCTGAGAGAGTGGCTATGGAACTTGCAGGAACACACAGCATATTTTCCAGAACACCAGGTGTCAGCAAAACCCCAAAAATGCGGAGCGGTTGTCTGTAATCCAGCGGTTCAGGATAAAAATGGGCTCTGTGCTGTATTTTATGTGCATGGGTTGCATTTTTTAAAAATCAGCGATTTGGACCGAGTTGTACATGGAACACAACACCACGATCGGCCTGTGGTTCATTTCTTCCGTGTAATGCCAAGGACTGCTGGGGCACGCTTCCCATTTCCATCGTGCCTGCGATGTGTTCCAGCTCGTGCTCGTTTCTGAAAGTTTCTGAGGGGAACCTGGGGGCTTTGTCCAATTTTGAGGGGTTAAATGGATCCTCTGGAATGCAGGAAGACGTGAGGCCATTAAGGGTTGTGTGTGATGGCCGAATAGCAAACCAATTCCCAACCACCTAATTACCGTGGGCCATTTTTAGAGCTGTTACTATTAGGTTTCGGATTTATCGTGGTCCAAAAATGGAAATGCATTAGGACTCCCTGCACACCCCTATTGTTTCAGGCTGCCTGCAGTCTCTGGAAGACAATGTCTGAGCTAGTCAGTACTGGTTTCATACACAGAAGGCATTTTGCCCCCTGAGACCAGATCTTTAGAAAGAAACACTGTGCTGTAAATAAACACGCTGCTGGAGGGCGGGAGGGAGCCTGGATTTTATGCTGGAGAGCAGCTGGAGCCAGGCTGGGCCGGGCTGCTGCACAGGATGGCCACAGCTCCAAAGAGCAGGAAACACAACCACTGTTTCCCCTCTGCTAAAACCAGTTCCAGGTATCCCTGAACCTGCTGTGACTTGGAGGCATCGTGCTGGCAGGAGAGAAAACACAGGAAAAACTGATCTGTGAGAAAACAGGCATATTGGCATTTGTGAAATACCGTCTGCCTCTCCCTTTTCCCCTCAAAGTGACATTTTAAGCCTCAGGCAAGGAGGTAGGAGGGCAGGTCTGGCACAGACCCCACTTCTCCCACTGAATTCCTCTTTCAGGCACAACCTCGTTCCTTTCTGTGATGGTTTCTGGCCACACAGTTCTTTACACAGAAAGAACGGGGTTGCTCAGCTTTTAGTTGGATGTTGAGTGTCGTGGTGCCTGTGCTGAGCAGGAGCACTGGTGGCCCTGAGCCCGTCCTGTGTCCACTGCTCCACTCCTGGGGCTGAGAGGGGAGCGGGGCTGGAGGAGGGAGAACCTTGTGCAGGCTAAAAACTCCCTGCCTTAAAACTCCTGCGCCTTCCACAGCTCAAAGTGAAGGAGAGGAAAGCATTCCAGCTAGCCAGGAGAATTCGGGACTTGCTTATTTGCCTGTGATCTTCCAAAGCATGAGCAGAGCTCATAGTAAAGAGCTCTGAGCAAATATGGATGGTTTATTTAATGGGCAGCCTCAGAGGGAGGCTTTCAGCCTTATTACCCTATATCCACATCAAAAATATCTCTATAAATGTCCTGGGTGCCTGATGATGTGTCCACCAAGGTTGCTAATGGCAGGTTGGGGTCAAACCCTGGTGGCACCAGCCTCGAAGGGAACACACGCCAGCTCCTTGGGGTGAGTACGGTGATGGGTCAGTGTGCCACTGGCCAGCCCTTCACCTCTGGGCCGTGCATTTGGGGCCTGCTCGTTTTCCTTCTTTTTCCCACGGGAAGCAGAATCAGCAGGACACAGTCCAGGCACCAGGAGCACCCACATCGGCTGGGCAGGGAAAACCCTGCTTTCTCCCAAACAGCACAAAACCCAGTGGTTTCGCTGAAAAGCGATGGGTGATGACCCAACAAAGTTTTATTTTTCCTTGGACCTGAGTGCATAACACAGAAAACAATTCTTTAGATGTATTTTTTAGGCTGCTTTAAGCATTTTTTTCATTTTAAATTTTTTTTTTTCTCCCCCCAACAGCTTAACAAAAGCAGCCAGCGAAGAAGTTTTGGGGTGGATCCTTATTCATTTTTTTTTTATTATTATTATTTTTTTTAAATCCGAGGCGGATGATGCTCGTTCCGGGAGGGGGGAGCCCGAGCACCGCCCGCCCCTCGCCATCGCCGTGCGGGCGGGTGGGCGGTGATGGCGAGGGGCGGGCGCGGCCCTGGGGAGGTTCTGAGCCCGCAGCCCCGCGGGAGCTGCTCGGCCCGGCCCGGTGAGTACCGGCAGCCCCCAAGGATGCCCTGGGGATAACGGAGCGTGGGGCTGGCCCGCCGTGGCTCGGGGGGGTGCTGAGATAGCGGAGAGTCCGGTGGGAAGGTGGCCGGGACAGTGTTACAGCGGTGTCAGCCGCCGGATGGGGACCGCAGGGCAGTGTCCCTCACTGGCTCGTCCCGAGCTGTGGGGTGGCGCTTCTGCCCTCTGTCCGCTTGGACAGATCCTTCGTCCTCCCGGACAGACCCTGCATCCCCTGGGACAGAGCTTCCGTCCCCTGAGACGGACCCTTCGTTCCTCGGCCACCCCTCAGGACAGTCCCCCTGTCACTCCCGGCTCCCTTCATCCACGCACGGTGTGCAAGTTTCTCCCTTCCCACTCTCTGTGTGTCTGAATCCACTTGTAAAGATGTCAGCTGGGCGTGCGACCCCCAGGCAAATGCCAGGGCCTGGTGGCTTCACTCCCCAAGCCTGGGGGTATTTGTAGGGCTTTTTTCCGGGCAGCTGCTGCAAGCCCCTCTCCTTATCCTGAGTC